ACCTGGGTAGATTATACATATATTTTAATTGCTATAATACACATGTGTTAAGTTTAAAGAAACAAAGTACCGTTAAATCATTCCGAAGTCCTCAGCCCATTCTGTTCTACCTTTCGCTCCACCACTAATGAAAATTTCTTTTACCAGTGACCTAATTATCAAATCTGATATCTCGTATGGTATTTAGCTTATTGTAGACCCTTATACAGGGTGGGGCAAAAGTGGGTTTACAGTTGTTCATATGGAAAATAATACAATAATTAACAAATAATAGAAGAATAACCTCATGTTTTGTGTACTCACAACTGTGAACCTACTTTTGCCCCACCTAGTGTGTTCAATAAGTAGAAAATGTTTTAGCAAAATGAAATGTTCACAAAAATAATCCTCTTAAAAAATGTATCACCTATACATCAGACATTACCTATGTAGGCCCTTGACCTCTAAACTTTTTTGATCACACATCCTTATGTATACAAAATATATTGGCTCATTCATAATCAGTATGTTTTTTATATACACGTACTACTACCCTAATAAACTACCCCATCATAAAATTCAGATAGAAAACGCTCTAAGGTAATAGTTTTACAAGGTAAACTAATAGAAGTTCTCATATTTTCTCCTCACATCTGATTGAATCACATGTGCCTCCCCAACACTTACACTAGACCACTAATCTAGGTGGCCACATTACAACCTTTTCATATAAGTATGTTAACCAAATAAAATCTAGCTCAACAACTGATATATCATTTAGTATTCCTTTTTCTTCTACAGTACTAACTTCTTGACTGTATCTTCACTGCACAGTTGCTTTAAACAGGACATAAAGTCTAAGAAAAATGAACTCTCAAGTTTCCTCACTCAATGGGATTGTTTCATTCTCTGGAATATAAATTTGAAGACTATACTCTAAAGACTGCTGTCTCCTACAAGTCATTTCAAATATAAGAAATGCAATTCAGACATTTTAAAGTTGCAGAACAGAGGAATTTCTTCAGTCATAAGCTTATTTTTGACCCAACTCTGAAAATCTGTGCTGAGGTTGGGCAATTAACTGGAATCTAAATTTTTTCTAACATCTATTAACGGAATTTCTTGTACCTGAAAGCCTCCATCTCTATGGGTTTGGGTGCTTACTATAGTCAGGATCAGTACAAAGGGGGAAGTGGGACGACTACAGTCCCTACAACCGACCAAGCAGTACTTAAAAGATCTAATGGACAGAACCGTTTCTTGTTTATCCGAAAGTAAGTCACTTTCCTACAGAATGTGAATCATTGAGTGTTGTAATGAAGAGACATCAGGTCAGTTTTTTGTGTTCTAAAAGTTCAAGAGTAAATGCCAATGTTATATGCTTTTGAAGTACCACCATCCCGTTCCACAGCTTTCGTATCATTCACCTCTTCCGAATTATCTAGGTACCACTATTAAATCTTCGTGCTGGGAGTGGGCAGACTAGCAGGGAGAGGCATCTAACCCCCGCCGCCGGCATCCGGGCCGAGCCCTTCCAGGCACCTGCAGCCCAGCGACACTGGGCAACTGGCGGAGGTAGAGGGTGCGACGTGTAGGGCCCAGGGCTGAAGCGGCCTTATTCTGGACACTACGGTACTTCTAAGAAGCTACCGGACACAGACAACGCTGAGCCCAGGAGCGGGTGGCCACGTCCAGCGTACGGAGAAGGGAAACGGAGCTCAGCGGCGAGAGGATGCAGCTGCCCACCTGGAGCCCCTTCGCAGGACGAGCCGGCAGCCTAGGGGGATCCGGACTCCCCGCGCCTTCGCGTCCGCGGGGAAAGGACGGCTGCCACGCCCCCGCCCCCGCGGTCCCCCTCTGGGGACCCTGAGAAAACCCCGGCCGGGCTAAACCCTTCACCACGAAAGGGGTCAGTAAAAACGGGCCCTTGGAACCAGCAGCTCCCACGGGGACCAAACCCGACGTTCATCCAACCCGCCTGTGTCATGCCCACTTACCCATTAATGTGGCACTATCCGGTGCCCTGACTTCCAGTCCCGGCTGCGGCGTCTGCGGCGGGCAACAGCGGGGTCGCCACTCCGCCCTTAGCGTTGAACGCAGCGACCGGGTTCGCAACTCAAGATGGCGGCCACCTGCGCCCCTTACCCGAGACCCCGAGGCTCGGCTCCCAGAAGCCCTTGCACGCGGCGGCCCCGGCGGCGGCGGCGGCGGCAGCTGCACTCACCCGCAGAGGGGCGGGGAGGAGGCGCGCTCCAGCCGCACGCACCCACGCACCGAAAGAGGAGCCGGCATCTGCTCCGACTCTAGGGTGTTAAACCCGCGTGGTCCCGGTGGCAGGAGTGTGTCCCACTACCCTGATCCTCCGTGCGCCCTGTCAGTCAATTATTCACTCGTTCGTTCGTCCGCCCTTCCTTCCTTCCGTCCATCCATGCAACCATCCATCCAACAACGTAGTGTTGATGGAGGACCTAATAGGTGCCGGGCATTGTTTTAGATATTGGAACTGCAACAGTACACAACTGACAAAAATCCTAACCTCATGGAGCTTTACAAAGGCTCTTTCCTTCTTCAGCTGCATTAACTTCTGCCTATATGCTCCCCTTTGTTTAAAGCTTTTTAATCTGCCATTTATTTAAACTTTTGGATTCTATAACATCTGTGGATTTTTGACAACAAATAAAAGTAGTCACTGCTATATGAAATAAATAACTCTAGATAAAGTACCCTAAATTATTATAACACATGTGTAGCCTTGTAAACCATCCTGAAGTTCAACAAACAGTATTGAAAACAGGCTTTTCCAGGTGCAATGCTAGACACAGAATACAAGATAAAAAACACATGATAACTACTCCTAAGAAGCTCCCATTTTCCATTTCTATTTCTTTTTGTTTTGGGTTATCTTCCAGCTCTCTATCCCTGCTATTGTATTTTTTAAACCCCAAAATCTATTTTCTATTTTTGACTCAGGGATTAAGTATCTTTTCTGGTCTCTCTGAAGATAGCAATTGTAGTTTCCTTGAAGAATTTTTTTTTCTCCTTTATTCATTGTCTTTGTTCAGAGTTTATTTTTTTCCTTTTTGATCATTTTGGTTTTCACCTTTCCCACTGCAGGCTGCACTCCAAAGCCTGGTGATTCTTGAGTATCCATATTTAAGAGACACTAAAGAACTTATTGGGTTCTAGCCAGCGTGTCTCAGTGGTTGGAGCATTGGCCCTTGGGCTGAAGGGTCCTGGGTTCTATTTTCAATCAAGGACCCAGGGTTCTATTCCCAGTCAAGGACACCATCCCCATGGGGGAGGCAACCAATCTACCGGTCTGTCTCACATGTTTCTCTTTCTACCTCCTCCCTGCCTCCCCTCCACTCTTCAAAAATCAATCAATGGAAAAAATATCCTTGGGTGAGGATTAACAAATTTTAAAAAACTTATTGGAAGCCTGTGTATCAGTGGGGCTTGTTGGCCTCACTACAGGGTGATACAGAGATCTTGGCTATTGGAGGAATTTCTAGAAGTCATTACCAATAGGTCTCTTCTTTCAGGCCAGTGGTTTTCGTGGAGAATAATTTTCCAGTCTCCTGACTTGGAGATACAAATCAGACATCAGAATGTAATGGAGGAAAATGGCTAGAGAGCCTCGTAATTCAGTATTTAGCTTTCATCATTTCCCATTTCAGTCCAACACCTTGACCTTTACCCTTAGCTGTGCATTTCTGACTTCATAACCTCTCTGGTTCATTTTCTTCATAATCTAAACCTGTAGTGTTCTGTCTGGGAGGGAAAGAATAGTCACTTAACAACCTCATGATGGAGGAGATCTGGAGGTAGGGTTCTAACAGTTCCTTATTCAGAATTTCAGCAAAATGTTCCTTTCAGGCCAAATTTAACATCTTTCTCAGAAGTATCTGGTCTTTAATTTATGAACATTTCCAGAATTCTGGCATATGAATTGACTTGTTTTTGTGAACTTCTCTACTTAGCTAAATTAGTTACTGCTTTCATCCTTTTTCTAGCTTTTGAATTTTGTTAAAATCTCAGCATTTATTTTTATTATTTTTTTTATTATTTTTTCATTTTAGTAGATTTTGAGAGGCAAGGTATATAAATGTACATGTTTAATTTGCAATGTTTAACCTCTCAACACCTAGAATGATTTTAAATATATATGTTGTACATCATCAGATCATGCCACTCTCTTACTTAAATACTCCAGTAGTTTTCTATATAAGGCCCTCCATGATTTGGTCCCTGTCTACATCTCTGACCTCATGTTGTAACCACTTCTAGAACATTATGCTCAGGTCACAAAATGTTCTTTTGCTTCAGTATTAGAGACTTTGTTCTTATTATTATTTTCTCTGCCTGAAATTCTCTGCCTCCTGTTGGTACAAGGTTTGCTCATAAGCACACTCACCTCCTTAAAAAGACCTTTGCTAACAACATTTGTCCTTACTATAAATAACCCAGCTTTATTTCCTGTATGGCACTTACCATGATCAGTTTATTTATTTGTTCATTTTTCTATCTACTTCAAAATGTAAGCTTCAAATGGCCTGGATTTTGTGTATTTTGATTACTACTGCAGCTCCAGTTCCAAGCAGAATGCCTTTCCAATAAACACTCATTAAATATTTGTTGAATGAAATAAGGACTGAACCATAAAAATAAGGTATGTGTGATCTTGTAACCTTAAGGCAAGAAACTGTCTTAATCACCCTTCATCTGCAGAGCACAGTCTGGAGTGTGATACCTAGTAGCATTATAATGCTCATTCAGACCCTGGACAGTGGTAACTGTGGCCTCGGGCAATGCTCTAGGACCCGCCCTCTCTTTCAGAGAGACGTCAGAGCCTAGTCTCTTCTAAATTCTGAGTCCTGACCCTGATGAGAGGATGGAAAAATGACTACGACTTCCAGGATGCACTGCGACCCAGCCCGGCGCGGAGCGGTGCATGCTGGGAGCCCGTCTCTTCCGGGGACCTGAGGAAACGCTTTTTTGAATGTGATAGTGGAGGCTGAAGTCTTCTGGAGCCGCTGGTTCTTCTCTCGGTTAATTGTGAGTCTCCGGTTGAAGAGAGGACCTCCGTTTGTCACTCAGACCGGGAAAGGTAATCGACGCCGCACACGCTCCTCCGCGGGCAGCCAGACGGTTTCAGCCGCGGAACCAAAGAGGAAGCCCGGCCGAGGGCGGTGTGGCCCGGGCCCGTGGTAGGAACTGACGGTCCCAACCTTCGTTTCCCAGGCCCAAAGCGTTGACCCAGTTAGTCTGAGCTGGTTTTGAGTCCTGGCTCGGGACTTGGCCTTGCTGCATTCTGGCCCTTCCCGCCTCCCTCACCACGGACCCAGCAGCACCTGTCACCGGCCCCTGCGGCTCGCACGCAAGTGTCGGGAGCTCAGCCATCCCGTGTCCGCCGCGCCCCAGCCGCGCGAAGAGAAACTCCGGGTGTGACGTTCTTTCCACTGGAGGTTTGGGGGCATTTCCATCTAAAACCAGGGACTGTGGATGTGTGAGAAAAGTAAGGACAGCGTAGGGAGTTCTTATAAAACTAATTTTTTTTAAATGATGGAAATAGTTTCCTTATCCTTCTTTTCTTGTTTACTTTTAAATAGTCCGTAGCTGAACGTTGGTCTGTAGTAGGAAGGTTGTGACAGTGACTACTTTTTAAAAAAAGTATTTCTTAGCAAAATCACCTTTTCTCAGTAGCTAGTACTTTACTAGTACACAGAACTCAAAAGTGACTGCTGGTTTAGTACAACTGATTCTATAGGCTGAAGGTGTGATGTTTTACCTAAAATTATGAAACCTAAGATTATAATCCAGTTCTCTTCACTCTGGAATCAGGATTCTTTTCTACTGTGCTCACTCTGCTTCTATTCTTTGGGTTGAGAGTTCAGCCTCTGGAGCCTGGCTGGGGTGCTTTGGTGACACAGCTGAGCTAGGGTTGACTCCATGTACTATAATAATGATACTTAAACTAGTCTCATATATATATAACTCTTTAACTGTTAACTGCTGTTGTTAAGATGTGTTTATTTACCCTCCCCATTGTTAACAACTTGAAGTTTCTGTACTTAGAATCATCAGTGGATAAGGCTTCTTTGTTTTCTCTTACCTGACTTATCTTACCTGGATGATCTTCTGTTACCTTTCCTCTATCTCAGACCATTCTTTTTGGATATTGAAACATTATTTTAATTATTATTGTTATTATTGCCTTTGTTTTATAAAAATCATAAAATTGAAATACAGCAGGGAAATTTTGGTTGAGATTTTGAACAGTAAGTACATCGAAAATGTTTTCTTCTAAAGCCAATTTAAAATAAATTTGATTGTTCCAAATCACTTTATAAAATGCATTTTCTTTTTCTTCAACTCCTACTTTCTAACTTAAAATAATATTTTGTTCTTTTCTAGCTACCTGATGTACCATGCTTTCTTGTGATATTTGTGGTGAAACAGTAACTTCAGAACCAGACATGAAGGCTCATCTCCTAATTGTTCACATGGAAAATGAAGTTATATGTCCATTTTGCAAATTGTCAGGTGTGAATTATGATGAAATGTGCTTTCATATTGAAACTGCTCATTTTGAGCAGAATGAACTAGGAAGAAACTTTGAGAGGATCAATAAAATACAGTATGGAACTTCAGATAACAGGAAGGACAACACACAACAGTGTAGAATGGAAGTTAATTCAAGTATTCATTCAGCTTGTGCTTCGAATCCAAAAGTTTCAGCTCAAAGCCTGCTTAAGGATGGTACTTTAAAACATAAAGCCTTTTATTCAGAGAATTTGACTGAATCTAGAAAATTCCTGAAAAGTAAGGAAAAACAGTGTGACCTATCCAAAATAAAAGGATCAGTTTATGATACAATGTATAGTCCTCCTGAATGTCCATTCTGTGGAAAAATAGAAGATTGTATTCAAGATATGGAAACTCATGTGAAAATAAAGCATGCCAATCTTTTAGACACTCCAGTAAAAGGTAAAGTGTTCATTTTATATAATAGGTAACACTAGTCTCAGTTTAACATGTGGTGTCCTAAAAGTTGGTAAGTCATATTACTACAACTGTATTTTAAAAATCAGTTTATAGCCCGGCTGGTGTGGCTCAGTGGATTGAGTGTCATTCCATGGACTGAGAGGTCCTGGTTCAGTTCCCAGTTGGGGCACATGCCCAGGTTGCAAACTCGATCCCCAGTGGGAGATGTGCAGGAGGTGGCCGATAGATGTTTCTCTCTCACATCGATGTTTCTATCTCTCTCTCCCTTCCTCTCTCTCTAAAAAAATCAATAAAAACACTCAAAAATAAAAATCACTTTATATCTATAACATTGTTTATTTGCTTTTGTTGCAGTACAATGGAAAAAAAATTGGATACAGGTAATAAATGTTTCAGCTACATTGAGAGTTGTTTTATTACCTTTCTGAGGAGAAATACACCACCAACCCAATGGCATCTGAACTGTCTCAGACTCTGTTTTTTGTTATTCAGTGCTAGGTTGATTCTATTATGATCAGAGAACACACAATGATTTCAGTTCCTGCCAGCATTTGGTGTTTGTTGTCAGTGTTCCAGATTTTGGCCATTCTAATATGCGTGCAGTGGTATCTGGTTTTAATTTGCAAATCCCTAATAACATAATGAACATATTTTCATATGCTTACTTACCATCTGTATATCTTTGATGAGGTGTCTATGAAAGTTGTTGGCTTGAATTTTAATCTGTTTCTTATTTTCTCATTGTTGATTTTTAAGAGTTCCTTGGATATTTTCTATTTTTTTTTTTTCTCTTTTCAGTTTGGGGAATATCTCTTGTCATATCCTCAAGTTCTTTAGTCATATCCGGTCTACTGATAATCCTATCAAATACTTCTGTTGGAGTTTGTTTTTTTCTCTAGCATTCTTTTTCTTACGATGTTAATTCTATTAGCTTATGAAGATTTACAGCACCCAATGTATTTTTGCATGTATGTATGAAGGTTAAAAGGTGTTTTTTCCCCCATAAAATACAAGAGCAACCAATTTCACCATGAAATAAAAGTAAAAACTGGATTTCTTTTTAAATGAGTCCAATGTGGAATTTAGGAACTTAGTTGTAGGCTGCTATGCTAACACCATGACAAAGCAAAATGTCAGGTTAGGTCTGGTTTGATTTTGGTTTCTTTTCAATATCCAGTGCTCATGGATTATATTCTTGAAATGTTCCAGTTGTAAGACAGGGATCTGTTTGGATTCTACCAATGGTATGCTCCTTCGGTTAGATGCTGGAGGATACAGCACGTTTTGCAGGATCCATGAAAACTACCTGGTATTCGTCAAGGGAAAAAAAATGGGTTTCCTCCTTGGTATCCCATTCCCTAGAAACCTACTTGGACTGCAAGATAACTCTGATTTCTACAAATCTCACAAACTGGGATGCTTGTGAATTATCTGTGATAAATTTCCAATGTAGCTCCAAATTTTTTATAGTCGTTAGCAGACAATTCCAACAGTGGCATGTTTATTCAGCTCATATTTCTGTTCTGTCTATGAAATGAAATTTATACTTCTCTTGTTCTACAGTTAGGGAAGTTTCTCCAGTTCTGTGCCTTGGCAATGAGAAACATATCTCATATCCAGATTTTCATCAAAGTATTGTTGAAACCATTTCTTCTGAATAAATTTTGCCGTGGAGAGGACAGCAGTAGATAGCTCAATACCTTAGTTTTCATATTCACCACTGTAGAGTTATGTCAACTAATTTTAAGACTTGATTGCAACCTCTGATCAAACATATCAGATTGACTTAGTTCAGTTTTAAAGTCGGCTAATCCAGCTAAAATGAAACCGGTCACATTCATTTTGTCCAAAGAAGTAAAACAGCTGCACGGCAGTGTCAGCTCCTGTCTGAAAAGTTACTCCACTTGCAGACCAAATCATAATGTATGCATTGCTTAGTGCTTTCACTCTGTATCTGGAATTCTCGTTGGTGCCCAGTATGGGTCAGGTCTGTCTTGCAGAGGTACCACTTCTTCTGTCCTGGACAGACTGCACCTATCTGCTTGCTGAGCTAGTTGATGGATCTCATGCTTTAATTTCCTGCTCCCAACTAGGTTGAATGATCCCAGTTCCTAGCTTTATGATGAATGCTTGAATTACGTATCTCATCACTTAGTTTGGAGAGTTCTGAGAATTTAGCCTCTAAAGTCCATATCTAGATTGGCTCCACTTACCATTTTAATTTTTCTTTCTACTTTTCTTGTTTTGACTATAGATCTCGATGTTTGTTATTAATATTTTCTTTCATTATAGTGGTAAGAAAGATTTGTGCTTATGCTCAGTCTTCCATCTTGACCTTAGAAATTGAAAAAATAGCTTTAAATTCAACTACAAAATGCTTTTATTAATGCGATTAGTGGATAGTAGATGTGGTACATATATACAATGGAATATTACTCAATCATAAAAAGAAGGAAATCCTGCCATTTGTATCTACATGGATGGAGCTTGATGGCATTATGCTAAGTGAAATAAGTCAGACATTAAAAAAAAAAAAAAATAGTGTACGGTCTCACTTATATGCAGAATCTAAAAAGTTAAAAAACAACCAAACTCATCGAATAAGAGATTTGACTTGTGATCACTAGAGGCAGGGGTAAATGCTGGGTAAATTGGATGCAGGTGGCCAAAGGTACAAACTTATAGTTATAAGTAAGTTCTGGGGATATAATGTACAATATGATGACTATCACTAACACTGCTGTATGCTGTATTTCAGAGTTGCTAAAGAGTAAATCCTAAAAGTTCTCATCACAAGGGAAAAAAAACAATTTTTTCTTGTTTCTATATGATATGATGGATACTAACTAAATTCATTATCATAATCATTTCACAATATGTGTAAATCAAGTCATGCTGTATACCATAAACTTATACAGTGCTGTATATCAGTTATATCGCAGAACTGAAAGAAAACTATTTAGTGTTTTAGCTTACCTTGGTATGTTCTGTAGCTTTATTTTTATCGTATAGATAACTAAAAATTTCCAAGTTCTTTCCTAAAATTAAGAGTGCATATGCTGTATCCAATTGTCCCTTATTGTTTTTAAATTTTTAATTGACTAAGGAAATTCTCTTAATGTGCTGGTTAAAAAGAAAATGGCTTCAAATTCTCACAAAGGAGGAACATTCACACATTCAGCATTTCAAATTGTAGAAATTTTTGCATGAAACCAAAACAATCTTTGGCTTGGGGTGAAAATCTTAAACTTTTAAAAATAAGACCAATTGAATCATATCTCTAATACAGACTGTGATCAACCACTGTATGACTGCCCTATGTGTGGGCTCATCTTTACAAATTACCGTATTCTCCAGGAACATGTTGAGTTGCATTTGGAAGAAAGCAGCTTTAGACAAGGTATGTTTATATTTTTAAAAATAAGAATGTTATTATTTAATTTCTACTTCCTAGGACACATTTAATTTTTAGATTATTGATATAGAAGGGGGAAAAAGCATACTGTTCAAAAATAAATCTGTCCCTTTATAAAATTCTAATCTACTTCCAACTTTTTAAAAAGTTTTTTCAGCCCTGGCTGGTTTTGGTTGCCCCCGGACCAAAGAGTCAAGGACACGTACCCCGTTGTAGGTTCGATCCCTGACCAGGTCAGGGTCCTGTGGGAGGCAACCAATTGATGTGTCTCTCTCACATCTGTGGGGGTTTTTTTCTCTCTCTCTCCCTCCTTCCCTCCCACCCTCCCACTCTATCTAAAAAGATAAAGAATTAATGGAAAAATATCCTCGAGTGAGGATTAAAAATAATAATAATAATAATGATAAGTTTTTTCGCAGAAAAATTATGAAGGATAAACTGTTGTGGCCAACAGCTGAACTAGAGATGTGCATCCAGGGTTTTGAGGTTATTTTTTCAGCAGCTAGAAGTAACTGAATTTAGCATTTGGTCAGCCAAAATTGTTGGTGAACTAGGTTGCTGCTATATGGCATGTAATAATTTTTAAAAAGAATGTGAGCTATGTGATTAAAAAGTTTTTCAAGTGCCTTTCTAGCTGCTATCCCAGCTTCTTACATTACTAGTTACTATTTTTATAGTGACTCTATGAAAGTTTTCCTCTCTTCTATTTTTTTTTAATGTGGTATTAAGTAGTCATTATGGTGACTTAGAAATGGAAAAAATCCTATGAGTTGCATAATCCCACTGAAACAAAATATAATGTAGAGTCTGGCTGGTGTGGCTCAGTGGTTGAGTGTCAACCCATGCACCAAGAGGTCACCGGTTCAATTCCTGGTCAAGACACATGCCCAGATTGTGGGCCCGATCCTCAGTGGAGGGAGTGCAGGAAGTGACCAGTCGATGTTCTCTCTCATCAGTGTTTCTGTCTCTCCCTCTCACTTCCTCTCTCTCTAAAATAAAAGAAAAAAATTATAAATATATATGTGTACACACACACACAATGTAGACCCTAGATGAAACCAATTGTATCCTAATGGATTTCAGTTTCTTAAGGTACATGGATATCAATTATCCCCATGGATAGACAGCATAACCTGCTCACTCAGACTAATCCCAAGATGAGAATTAATTACTATAGCAAAGATGGAATAGTTTTCTACTCTTGGTTCTTTACTAACTACTGTAGAACAATAACACTCTGAAGCTGAGTATCTGATCATTCTTTGTTTATGGTAGCTTTGCATGGGTGCATGAATTATTCTGTAAGCCTATAATGGGTAATGAAAGAAAGATATGGTGTGAGTATATCACTGTAAATAGCCTTAGAAAAATCAGTTGTGAATTGCATATCTCCAACAAGAAAAGTAGAGACCAAATAGGAAGATGTAGTGGAGGCCAAGAGAATTGAAAGGAAAGAAAGAAGAGTCAAATACTTAATTAAGCCACCAATTTGGGAAGTCAAGAAGATAAGACTGGCCAGAAGCTACTGGCTAATGAATCTGGAACACTGGATCGAGAGGAAACAGGGCAAGAAGTTGCAAAGTTGTACTCTTTGTTTGGGGCCAGACTATAATTAATACCTGTATGACCTAATATGTATATTTTGCAAACATATTTTTATATTTTTTATTTCCTTCCCCCCTCCCAGAATTTTTTTAAAAACCAACCTATCTGATATGTGTTAATAAGGAATATCAATGAAGGTTGTTGCTTAGTTTCTCTAAGTTTTGATTTCTTCAGAAAATAATAATGCCTATCTTTCTAAGGTTGTTATAAGGTTCTAAATGAGATAATTAATGAAAAGTCCTTGACATAGTCTAAATGCTCAGTGAATATTAGTGATTTAAATGGAGGTTATACCCTTACAGATTAAGTGCTGCTAGCTTGGTACTTACTGTTTCTGTCACATCATGGGTATGAACAAATGGCATTTACTCCATTTTGTAAAATAGATGTTAAGATATAATAAATAAGCTTTGATTTCAGTAGTTATTTTATTCTAAATGCTAAAAATATCTAATAGGCATGGATAGAGTCCAGTGTTCGAGAGACCTAGAATTGGCTCACCACCTTCAACAAGAAGAAGACAGAAAGAGGAGATCTGAAGAATCAAGACAAGAAAGGGAAGAATTTCAGAAGTTGCAGGTACATAGGTTATAACTATTCTAATATTTTGGTTTGGTAGAATTCTTAGTTATCAAGACTTCAGCCTATTATTTTTGTCCTTGTTATTACACTAAATATTTTTAACATATATTTTATAACAGCCACTGTTTGTAGGTAGTCATTCTGGTCAGTACTAGGGTAAGCACTTCATATATCATATCCCAAAATCTAATATTGTAATATTATTACTAATATTATAATAACTATATATGGCACCATGTGAGTATTTGAAATATCAGGGGGAATACTTTATATACATTGACCACTGTGCTGTACACCTGAAAATAATACAGAATAATAATGAATGTAAACTGTAATTGAAAAATAAAAACACAGGTGTATAATTTAGGACCTATCAAATCCTTTTATATACTAAAGTGTATTGTGCATTCTTAACTTTCCCAAACTTATTTGACCTCTGACGCTTTCTTAGATAATCTCACACATGGCAATGTGTGAGAAAATTTAATTCTTACTTTGGAATATCTAATTTTGGCTATTTTTCTCTTTGGTGATGCATTTCGTTGCAATATATTTTCTCACCAAGACTCAGAAGAGAAAAGAAAGTTGGCTTTTTCCAAGTCTTCTTGCCTTATGTAAGTTTGAACATTGGAAATCCAAAAAGTTTCCAATATTAAAGGGAATTTGTTATATAACTTTGCAAGTTAGTTGTTTAGATCTCAGAAACCTTCCAAGAAAACTATTTTATACATATTATTTGAGCTTCTCTGTTCAGTGTGCAAAAACATAATTCATTTACTATGTAGAATGAATGCCTGAAGGAATTATGAATTAAGTTGGCCTGTATAAGCTAGTCTGGGAACCAAATAACAAACACTGACAGGTTTTCTTGCAAAAATCAGCAGTATGTTCAGAACTCATCTGCCGTTCACACTACTTTTAGTAGGAAGACAGGACTCTCTACTTTCCCTACTACAAGGGAATCAAGTCTCTTGCCATCATAGTTGTTTAAGTTTTTTTTTTTTTTTAATATATATATATTCATAGCGACAGTATGGATTAGATCATTCTGGAGGGTACAAACAACAGCTACTACGGAGTATGGAGAGAGAAGTAAATAGTGGAAGAATGCATCCATCTGAATTTCACAGAAGAAAAGCTGATATGATGGAATCACTAGCTATTGGTATTGATGATGGAAAAACAAAAACTTCTGGTGAGTACTTCAACATCAAAATCATGGTTTTAATATTCTGTATATCACTGAAGTAATAATCAGAATTGCTTGAATTTTGCCTAATTTTCATAATCCACAGTTTATATAGTTTTAGGTGAGACTTTTCAGATAATTTTTTTAATGTGTTGTTTTGACACTTCTAAACTTCTGTTTTTACAGTAAATAATTCACTTAAAAATAATTCATTTTCATATTGTGTTAATTTACTTCATATTTGAAAATGAACCTTTCAAAAAACTTTTTAGTAAGAGCGTACTATGTTGTAGACCAGTGCCATCTAATAAAAATATAAATGGCCACATATATAATTTAAAATTTTCAGTAATCACATTAGAAAAAGCAAAAACAACCAAGTAAAATTAATTTTAATATTTCAAGTCCTTCAAGTTCATAATATTTTAACATATAGTCAATATTAAAAATGATTAATGAGGTATTTTACAGTCTTCATACAATCTTCAAAATCCAATGTGTATTTTTTACTTTACAGAACATCTCAAAGTGAGCAAGCCACATTTCAAGCACTCATTAGCCACATGTAGATAATGGTTACCATATTGGTCATTACAGTTTAGACATGAAGACCTTTATATGTACTTTAATAAGATATCATTTAAACCTGACCGGTGTGGCTCAGTGGTTGAGCATCGACCCATGCACCAAGAGGTCATTGGTTTGATTCCTGGTCAGGGCACATGCCCAGGTTGTGGGCCAAATCCCCAGTGGGGTGCATGCTGGAGGCAGCCAGTCAATGTTCTCTCTCATTGATGTTTCCATCTCTCTCTACCTCTTCCTTCCTCTCTCTCTAAAATCAATAAAGAAAAAAAATTTTTTTAAACAAACAAGAAAAATGAAACTTTAAAAAAAAGAAAAAGGTATCATTTAACTCTCAAAGCAGACATTCTCTTGTGTACTGTTACTTTTTTTTTGATGAGGTAATTGTGACTTACAGAGGATACATTATTATGCCAAGGTAAGGTTATGTAGCTAGTTATTGTCCCAGCTAATATTTACAATCAGATTTGCCTTGCTTCAAAAAAATGCCTTTGTTCCTGCTGTTTTAAATTTTATTTAATGTGCCCTGGCCGGTTTGGCTCAGCGGTTAGAGCGTCGGCCTGCGGTCCTGAGAGACCCAGGTTCGGTTCCCGCTAAGGGCGCGTACCTCGGTTGCAGTTTGTCCCCGGCCCTGGTCGGTTGTGCGGGTGGCAGCCACTCGATGTGTTCCTTTCACATTGATGTTTCTCTCTCTCTCTCTGTTCCTCTCTCTCCCTCCCACTCTACCTGAACAAAAAGTGGAAAAATGTCCTCTGGTGAGGATTAAAAAAAAAAAAAAAAATTTATTTAATGTATCTATTATTAGTATAGTAAAAAATATATATATATATGGAAAACACTTTGTTCCCACCACCCACCTTTTTTGAATCTTTATATTTTAAAGCTGTAAAACATTTCATATGTATTTTAAACCCCTTTTGTACCCCTCTCTGATTCTAAACCCTCCTTCTCTACAAAGGGAACCATAATACTGAACTTAGTATTTATCAGTCTCATATATGTTTTTCTACTTTAACATATACGTAGGTTTTCATACGTAATATGTAACTGTTTATGTGTTTAAACTACATACAAATTGATGTCCAATGTCTATACTCTAATCTGACTTGCTAATTCATTTTTATTGCTGTATAGTATTTCCTTGCATGAATTATATCAATTTATTTATCTGTTTTATGTTCACAGACATTTAGGTTGCTTTCAGTTTCTTTCTCTGACAAATTATAAATAGGTCTTTTTCAAGAGTTTCTCTCATACTGCATCCAGAACTGGAAATACAGTACTAATTTGAAGGGCATGTGTGTCTTTAACTTTGTTAAGGTTGTTATGGAACTGTTTTCCAAAGTCATAATCCATATTTGCACCAGTGTATTCTCACTCACACTTTGTATGGTAAAACTTTATAATTTTGGCCACTTAATAGGGTATGAGATGATATATGTCTTAATTTGCATTTTCTTGATTACTTCTGAGGTAGTATCTTCAGTAAATAACCTATTCCATTGATTTGTCCTTTCTCTAGTGGATTGTTTTTCTTTTTCTTATTAATTTGTGGGAGTCCTTTAAGAATTCAGGATTCTAATTCTTTGTCGATTTTATGAGGTGTAAATATCTTCTTTAAGTCTATAATTTGCCTTTAAATTTTACATATGGTATGTTTATTTCTTTAATTTTATTTTTCAATTACAATTTATATTCACTGTTATTTTGTATTAGTTTCAGGTGTATAGCATAGTGTTTAGACAAACATACTTTATACAGTGGTCTCCCCAGCATTTGAAGTACCCACCTGGCACCATACATAGTTATTACAGTATTGTTGACTATATATTCCCTATGATGTACTTCACATTTCCGTGACTATTTTGTAACTACCAATTCGTATTTCTTAATCCCTTCACTTTTTTTACTCAGTCTCCCAACTCCCCTGCCGTTTATGTATCATCAGTCTGTTCTCTGTATCTGTAAGTCTGTATCAATTTTGTTTGTTGGTTTATTTTTCCCCTTTTTTTTTTTAATCCTCACCCCAAGATATTTTTCTATTGATTTTCAGATAGAGTGGGAGGGAGGGAGAGAAGGAAGAGAGAGAGAAAAACATTGATGTGAGAGAAACACATTGATTGGTTGCCTCCCACACAACCCCAACCAGGACCAGGGACTGAACCACAACCAAGGTACGTGCCTTTGACCAGAATTGAACCCAAGACTCTTTGGTCCCTGGGCTGATGCTCCAACCCCTAAGCCAAACCAGCCAGGGCTATTTTGCTCTTTAGATTCCACATACAAGTGAAATCATATGGTGTTTGCCTTTCTCTGAGTGACTTATTTTGTTTAGCATAATACCCCATAGGCTTATCCATGCTGTCACAACTGGTCATATTTCATTCCTTTTTATGGTTGAGTAATATTCCATTGTATATATGTACCACCACTTTTTTATCCACTCATCCATTGATGGGCACTTGGGTTGCTTCCATATCTTGTTTATTGTAACACTGAAGTGAACATAGGGGTGCATATATTCTTTTGAATTAGTGTTTTGGGTTAGAATCACTGGATCATAAGGCAGTTCCATTTTTAATTTTTTGTACATGGTATCTTTAGAGAGAGTTTCAAATTTTAATCAGATTTCTCAATCTTTCCCTTTATTTGTATCCTATGTGTCTTGTTTAAGAAACTCCCCAATCTTTCAGATTGTAAACATATTTCTTTACATTTTTAAAATATTTATACTTTGCTTTTCATATTTTGACTTTAATCCACTTGGAATTTATTTGTACATATGTGTGTGAGAGAGAGAAAGAGAGAGGGAGAGAAAGAGAAGGTATGGATCAAATATTTTCCACTTATTTATAACAATACTTAAATTTCTTATTATTTATTTATGTCAGTACCATTTAGTGAATCTGTACTTTCTCCACTTATACTTCTCTAAGGGTCTCCATGTGAAAAGGTTTCAGTGTGGAATAGGAAATCCCAGGAAATATGTAATAGGATTCATTAGGGTGTACAAGAAGAAAATATTAGAACTTCTATTTGTTTTTAATTTGTGTTATTCTTTAATTTCTATTCCTGCATATATTTTAGAGTTACTATAGAACCACTAGTTTATATGTAATTTAAAATAAATATAAATGTAAAAGATTACAGAACATGGTTCTAATATACTACATCCTTTTGATAAGCTGCCTTGAAATTTAGATGATTGATTTAATGGCAAAGCAGGGCAGGAACTAAGGTTATATCAGTAAAAAGATAAAGAAGATGAACTTGACAGAATTTAGTTTTAGCACTGGAGGGACAGATTGATATTAGAAATATATTAGACAGCCATAGAAAGATAACAAATTCTTCTAAATCTCTCTTCTTTAGGAATTATTGAAGCACTTTATAGGTATTATCAGAACGCTGCCACAGATGTGAGGCGTGTGTGGCTTTCTACAGCAGTGGATCACTTTCATTCATCTTTTGGTGATAAAGGTTGGGGTTGTGGTTACAGAAATTTCCAAATGCTACTGTCATCATTATTACAAAATGATGCTTATGATGATTGCCTGAAAGGTATGTGAAGTACAGTACTTTAAAATTGTCATCTTATAAAGTACATATGATATGAAATGAGTTAATAGATAGTAGGCACACTTAATAGCTTTAATGAATAAGTATTTTGGATATTTCCATTAAGAGAAACTAATAAAATAGAAAATGTCAAGAATAACTCTTAGAAACTGTGTTGTAGGTTCCTCTAGAGTAAATGGTATACATGAATTAATATATAGTAGGGACAATTAATGGCTTTGATGAAGAAATACTTTAGTGCATATTTACCTTAAAAAATCTGAATTCTGGCCCTGGCCAGTTTGGCTCAGCGGTTAGAGCGTCGGCCTGCGGACCAGAGAGTCCTGAGTTTGGTTCCCGCTAAGGGCATGTACCTCAGTTGCAGTTTTTCCCCGGACCCAGTTGGGGTCGTGTGGGTGGTAACCAGTCGATGTGTCTCTCTCACATTGACGTTTCTCTCTCTCTCATCCCCCCTCTCTCCCTCCCACTGTGTCTGAAAATAAATGTAAAAATGTCCTCGGGTGAGGATAAAAAAAAAATCTGAATTCTGGTTGGAGGAAGAGAAACTGATATAATAGAAGATGTCAGGAAAAACTGTCTTAAAAACTGTGTTGTAGATTCCTCTAGAGTAATTGGTATACTGCTACATGATATATTCGGTATGTAATGTGTTTGCTTGTGTGATTTTAGGTATGTCGGTTCCTTGTATTCCAAAAATTCAGTCTATGATTGAAGATGCATGGAGGGAAGGTTTTGATCCGCAGGGTGCCTCTCAACTTAACAACAGGTTACAGGGAACAAAGGCCTGGATCGGAGCATGTGAAATATATACACTTCTGACCTCCCTAAGGGTAAAGTATGTACCTAAAAAGCCAAGTTACTATTATTATCCTATCTGGGAGATTTGATTGTTTCTGTTTTCTTATTTTTCTATCAAAGCAGTATTTAATGAAATTTAAGTATTACTAAAAAGGTTTATAATGAAAACCAACAACTCATTCTCTATCTCATGCTCCTCTCTATTCTCTAGTCCTGTTTCTCAGAGACAACTGTCACTTCCAATGTTTTTAAATAATATGCTTTCATGGCATTTATCAGTTTTAGACATTGTCTATTGCATTCCCCCTGTATCTCCCACCTGTTCACCCGCAATCCTTCTAACATGGTTAAATCTCAGCTTTTATTAAGTTGAAGTTAGAGTTTATGTCATGACTCTATAAATATTATTCATTGCTGATTTTACTTTATTTCCTGAAAGGTTTATTTATGTATTATTATTATTATTATTTTAATCTTCACCCGAGGATAATTTTCCATTTATCTTCAGATAGAGTGGGGTGGGAAAGGAGAAAGAGAGAGAAACATCAATGTGAGAGAGACATATCAATTGGTTGCCTCCCGCACGACCAGGGCTAGGGATCAAACTGCAACTGAGGTACATGCCCTTGGCCGTAATCGACCACCAACTCTTCGGTCCGCAGGCTGACGCTTTAACCGCTGAGCCAAACTAGCCAGGGCATTTCCTGAAAGATTTAGAAAATTTTTTCTCAGCTAAAAAATACCTTTCTTTTTTCCTTTTACTATTTGACTGCATCATAGTCTTAAGTTTTGTGAACACTCCACTAGCATGTGATAGGAGGCACTGCTGTTCCTGGACACCTTCTTGAAGCCATCTATTTTCTTTGCTCCAGTCTGTATTATTTGCCTTCTAGATCGCCTTCATAGCTAATTGTGTAGCATTTCTTCACTGTTTTCTTGAATTGGAGACTGGATTTTTCCTGGATTCCATGTCTTCCTCTTCTTTGAATTACTCTGTTTTGCTTGAACACTCCATTATTTCCTAAGAAAGGGTGCCTCGTCCCTATTACTTAAATGATACTTTGGGTGGCTATATTTCTCTACATTAAAAATAATTTTCAGATCATAGTACGTTTTTATTCTGTTGACTTCTGGCAACCAGTAAGGATTACTATTGAAAAGGTAAGATACCACCTGATTTCCAGTCTTGAATGTATAGCCTATTTTTTTTTTTTTTTTTAGAAGTTTTTTACATCTTCTTTTAGCCTTGATATTATGAAATTTCACCTGGAATGTTGGGCTTTGATAATTGTGTAGGCATTTGTTTTTCCTTTCAAATCTGAAATGGTGAGTGATAGGATCTCAGTATAGTGTTTAAAAGCTTGGACTTGTGAGTCAGATGCCTGTAATTGCTTCCGGCTTTCCTACCTACCTACTCTATGATTTAACTTGTCAGTACCCTTATTTGTCTTGTTTATAGAGTATTTCTATCCTAGTTTCAACACTGATAAAAGAATATATAAATAGTAACTGCTTTATAGAGTTACAGTGATAATTAAATGAGATAATAAAGAGCTTGGAACTGTGACTGGAATGTAGTAAGCTCAAGAGGTTAACTGTAAGTTTATTGGTCATGTCTCATTTTTTTATATTTGCTTTTTGTTTTACTGTCTAGATTTACCCCACCTTGTCTCCCAACTACTCTATTGAAATGTTTATTTTAGAAATTATGTTTTAATTCTAAGGGGTAATTTTATAGAATTGTATTCTTTTATGCTTGCAAATTTTTTTAATACTTTGTATCTTTCTGTTCCTTGAAGTTTTCTATTTTCTCCATGTTCATTTGTTTTCTTATCTATTTATTTGAGTCATTTCCATTTTGAAGGCATTCTGACTTTTGTAAGTCCTTAATTGTTGATTCCTAGAATAAGGGAGGAATCACTGAAAAGCGGATTGGAGATCCTGTAGGATTGCATGGAGTTTGCAGAGTAGCAGACTTCATTTAAGGAGTCTTAAGTGGAAATTTGCTGTTTGGTTGGGGAACTCCCAAATATCAGTGCAGAGAGACCTTTTCTCAGAGGCCTTTCAGAGAAGAGTCCTTCACTCTTCTGCTACAACTCCTTCGTGTGTGTGTGTGTGTGTGTGTGTGTGTGTGTGTGTCACGGAGTGGGGGGGTAATTTGCTTTCTTTATGCAAACTTTCAGTTAATCTCATTTTTGTCCCTACTACTACTCTCCCCAATACCTTGTGCCTCTAAGCTTTCAGCCTCTAAGGTTTTAAGACAATTGTCTTTATTTTATTTGCATTCACTTTTATGCAGGTTTCCATTTTTCACAATTGTATGACAGTTTATCTGTCCTCATTCTCCTTGTCCTTGGGTGTTTAAATCATTTTCTCCTTCAGTATTATGTTGGGCTTTCAGGAGGGAATAGATAGATGCTGTGATTGTCTTTAATGGAAACTTTGCCTCAAACTTTATTACTCCATATTTTCTTTTGTTCCTAGATAATTTAGTCAGTGTTTTACATCATTTCTACCATATTAATTGAACAGATTTAGCGGTAAAAATATTTTTAAATTTTTAAATAAACTAATATGTATATAATAACTTTCTTGCATGATTTAAATTGAAAAGACTATTTTTATGCCCTCTAAATTTTTTTCCTTTTTTTTTCTTTTTTGCTAGTCTGTTCCCACATTTATATTATATACACTATATCATGTTTGAGCTTTTAAATAAGTTTTAAAGAAAGGAAAATTTCCATCTAAAATACCAGCTGTATCTAGCTTTTTTCTTGGTACCTGAAATAGTTTAGTCTTCCTTTCAATAAAGCCTTTTATTAATAAACCCTGAATTTATTTACTAGTTATTTAACTGTCTTCCTTTTGGACTCTGTCAGGTACTATTTACATTCGAAATACAAACATGCTGCTAACTCAAAAGTGGTTTCTACTTTTTAACAATTATCCAAAATGTCATTTCAACATTTAAAACTCAGTAGTAATCATTTTGAAAGTTATCAACATTAAGCTTACTGAAGTTAAAGATAGTAACCATTACAATTTGGGTGTCTGGAGAGTTTATTGACAAGAGAGACTAGGACAGGATATCTGTGCTATACTTTAAAGTGAAAATAAACCTTTTACTTGTTTTTGTTTATACTGACTTTTTAAAAATACCTGTTGAAGAGTATAACCTTATACAGATTAAAGCTTGTTAAAATAATTTTATTTATTCAAGATTGACTTCCTTTTAAGGAAACACCACCACCGGGGTCTGGTGCCAAATAGGAGATCAATAGGTAGATGTAGAGATGGGGGTACATCCAGGTTTTTCTGACTTTTACAGCTGTTCTTTTCTTGTTTATGATTGGAATTTGAGAGAGCTGACAGGAAAAATATTCAGGACATTTTTGATAGATGTGAAAGGCTGTTGAGGAATGAAAACTAGAAGTCTTCTAATTTATTATCAGGTTCAGAGGCTTTAAAATAAAAGCTGTGTCTCGGGTTATATGTAGATAATTTTTTAAAATCAAGTGTGATCCTCATTTACTATTCATGAAGATTTTATGTCAGAAAATCTTTGAAACTTTTAGGTCAGTCATCAACCTTTTTATGAAGTTATTTAAATAATTATTTTCTTAAAAATGACAGTTATTTATATAAATAATAAAATGTATTTTTTCTTTCTTAGGAAAATAATGAGATATAATTAGTTCTAAACTAAGAATTTGTGTTTGATAACTCCACTGATAAATGATTTTTAAAATATTCTCTAAATAATCTATTCTGTCCATTTTGTTCTAGGTGCCACATTGTGGATTTTCACAAGTCGACTGGTCCTTTGGGTACGCACCCTCGCCTGTTTGAATGGATGCTGAACTATTACTCTTCAGAAAGGGAAGGGGGTCCAAAAGTAGTGTGTACATCTAAACCTCCTGTCTACCTGCAGCATCAAGGTTAGTGTAACTCAGGGATAAGTGTCATTTACAGGAATATCTTTATAAGGCAACGCATTAGCTTTTGCTTTGGGACAGGTTAAGAGTCTGATCATGGAGAGGAGGGGAGGATTGTGACAGTAGTCTGCCTGATTTTCATAATTACATTTTCATCACAGTCCATTCCTGGGTAATGAAGATAATATCCCTTGTATCTTCAGGGCTGCCTGGTTCATTCTTCCTTCATTGTTTATCTCTTGTTTTCTTCAGGTCTTTACCCTGTGTCACTTCAGTGAGGCCATCCCTAACCTCCTTATTTAAAATTTCATCTCATTACCCCAGCCCCCCACCACTGGCATTTTTTATTTGTCTTCCCTGCTTTATTTTCTTAATATAGCATGACATATATTTTACTTATTTATCTTGTTTATGGAGTATTTCTTCCTATTATGATGTGAGCTCCATGAATGCAGGAATGTTTTTGCTTCGTTTGTTCTGTGTCACTGTCACTGACTGACTGGAATAGTACGAGGCACCTGGGTGTTTGATAAATGTGTTGAATGGATGATCTGCATTGACAAGAATAAGGAAGAGTAAATGTTAAGAATTTCATCATATAGGAATACAAGCTATAAAGGATAAGCCCTTCCTTTTGAAATTCTAGTATTTAGTATAACTTTACTTTTGTTTACCTTTTAGAACTATTAGGGTTTTGTCTTATGGTAGGTAAATTTCAAATTCTTTCATTTGAGGTACTTTAAATAGGAAGGATCAATGGATTAGGAAAGAAAAACTAAAATGGATGGCATAGTAGAGAATTTGTTATAATGAAGCCTTTATAAAACTAAAATTGAACAAAGGAAAATTGAAGGTTAGGAAGTAGACTGAACTCTTGTGTCTTAGGAATGAGAGAGCTCAGATACCTCCATATCAGAGGGACTAACTATATTCTAAACACACGTTTGCAGACACTCTGTATTCACAAGGGAGTAAGTGTGTGTGCACATAGTTACTTATATCTGTATGTATAGCTATAGATAGATACATGTATTCTTGTTGTTTTATTTTTTGATAGGTCATAGTCGCACAGTTGTTGGTATTGAAGAGAGAAAAAATCGAACATTATGTTTACTAATATTTGATCCTGGATATCCTTCTCGAGAAATGCAGAAACTATTAAAGCAAGACATGGAGGCTAGCAATCTGAAGCAACTTCGGAAATTTGTGGGAAATTTAAAGCATAAACAATACCAGATAGTGGCAGTAGAGGGTGTTCTTACTGCAGAGGAGAAAATTGTAAGTATCTAAGTATTTATTATGTGAAGCTTAAACAAGTTGAATTTCAGGGTTTAAAATGTTTAGTTGAAATCAGTATTACCCCTTCGTATCTCTAAACACCTTACTCTATATCATTAATTGACAAAGATATCTTGTTTTTATGTCATTTAATTTCTGGAATGGACATTTTTAAAGTTAAAATGATACCTAGTGAGTTTCAAATACTTTACTCAGTACTCCATAAAAATACTTAATTTTACAATAAATAATTTAATTTTTAATGTCAGGTGAGTGAAGAAAAATGCCAACATATATAACATATATGGTCAAACAAAAAACCTAACTGCTGACTTCAAGGAAACCTAACTCATGTTGATCTTTAGAGTTATTGTTGATTAAATGTCATTCATATGATTTCTGATGCACTGTGTCATATACTTGGGCTTGTTGGATATACACAGTTCTAGAATTTAACTTCAATACAGTTACCTCTTTCTCTTGCAGTTAAGTGATGAATGGTACATTATAGAAAAATTTTTAGGAATTGCAAACACTCTACTTGGTATAAAGAAGCTTTGTGGTAGCATACCAAGTCTAGAACATGTATAGTTCTCAAAATTTTAAAGAAAAAAATGTCCCCATCAGAGTACTTCACATTGATTTGTTTCCATATGAAGAGAGAAGAGACAGCAGACTAAAGAGGAACAGTTATGGAGAATAACAGGATCATGGGGGGAAAGGACTAACATTGTTTGAAATGAGAGATAGAGTTAGAGTAATACTCTTTTACCTCATGAAATGAGATATAAAGGCAAGGACTGTTTAGGTAAGTTTCTTTGCAATAACTTAAATATCAAAATTGCATTCATATTTTTCACCATATTAATTTGGCTAAAGTTATAGGTTAATTTTAATTATTATACAATATCAAAATACTTGTTCACTAATATATAGATAACTTTTGAGGGCATAAATGGGGTTAAATATTATCATGGAGTCTAGCTAAACATTTTAGTTAGCTATTATCTTTTTGGTTTAGAACTGAGACCTTAGTCATGTTAGAAAACTAAAAAATATACATTTATTACTGTTCCTTTTAGACCAGTCATAGAGAGTAGCTGCATTTTAACCATAAGAATCAGAACTTAGCTGACAAGTGTACAATGCTGCCAGATAGAGAAGGGATAATAATTATAATATGATTATAATTATAATACAGCAGGTCCTCAAATAACATTGTTTTGTTCAGTGTTGTTTCACTATAACGTGAGATATCGTAGGAACTTAATTCTTGTTTATGTCAATTAGCCTATGGTAAAATTGATTTTGTTATACATCATTTTTTTACTGTGTTTATAAAAGTAACATTTGTATAATGCTTAACTTTCTACTAGAGGCTGTCCTAGTAGAGCACTTCACATATGTTAACTAACTTAATCTACACAACTGCCCTATAAGATAGGCATTAAGCACTATTTTTCTCATTTTACAGAAGAGGATGCCTATTCTCAGAGAAGTTGTTATATTCCTAAAGTCACACAGCTACTAAGTAATGGAGTAAGGATTCCAATGCATGCAATTTGCACATAGAGCCTTGCTATATTACTTCTTCTCTGAGGATACAAAGTCCCATAATTTCATGTTTGCTAAGCTTTTGTGTGAGCAATTTCACTGATAGGATATTATATTTTGAAAAATGAAAACAATCACACCAATTTAATATAACATTGCTTTTGCATAGTGTTTTAAAGCCTTTGTTTTCATTTCTTTTTTTCTTTCTGCCATCTGTCTTATAGTTATTCTGTCTGTTTTCACAGTGTTTTATACATTGTAGGAATTCAGTAAGTATTGATATACTGATTTATCTGCATATCTTGAGGTAGAAATCTGCAGCTTTAAATAAGGGTAAAATACTTATTTTACTTTTATGTGTGTTTTTACACCTTATTTTTAAAATGTCTTTTTCCTCCTTAGTGATAATTACAATTTTACTTGTGGAAATTTCAGAACAGTGTTGGTATTTTACGTATCTTAAAATCTACATATTTATAACGGCATTTGTTTTGTTTTTCATATTTGGACTTAATTATAATATTTTAATAATCATGTGGCTGTTATTCAAGGAGTAAAATCGGCTTTTCAAAAAAAAGGTTTTTATCCTGGCAACTATATTATAATTACCATAAGACATTTCTGCCATAAATATATCTTGAATATCTATTAATTCCAAATTCTGTTCTAGATATTGGAGCACTTATTTTAAAAAATATCTCCTAATGGCCCATCTGGTATGGCTCAGTACTGACCCATGGACCAAGTGGTCACTGGTTCGATTCCCAGTCAGGGCACATGCCTGGGTTGTGGGCTCGATCTCCTTTGGGGATGTGTAGAAGGGAGCCAATCAATGTGTCTCTCACCTATGTTTCTATCTCTCCCTCTCCCTTCCTCTCTCTCTAAAAATCAATAAAAACGTATTTTAAAAAAATATCTCCTGATGAAATTCAGTCAAATAACAAATACAAATCTATGTATATTCATACAAATCTGTGACTATAGCCATATTCTCCAATTCTTTTCACATTTTTATGTTTTAGTTAAATTACATCACTGCTTCCGTGTGTAACCCTTGTACTCTTAACTTGATTTAACTTTGTTTTAGCTTGGTATAATATGCCTTGATTTGTAACTCAAGTTATAAAAATAGCACAGACATTGAAATTGCTTTAAGTAGCATTTTTGAGGCCATATGCATAAGATAATTTTCTTAAAGGTTCTCTGTTCATAGCCCTCTTTCTCTATTTCTCCTTCTTTGTTTTTACCTTTCTCTGAGTTTGAGCCAGCATTTTACTTTTGACTTTTTAATCCATTTTTTAAAATGGTATTTTCTTTTTACTTCTGTTTAGTGTTTATCTGGAATTTTATTTAATTTTTTTTATGGCTTGGATTTTTAAATGTTTCTAATTTCTTAAATTCAAAATTGTAATTTTACTTGATATTTTCATTATCTTGAAAATATTTTCAGATTTTATTTTTTAATATTAGAATTAATTTATTTTAATTTAATAACAATTTCTTTTTACTATTAGAATATTCTAATTAATTGATTTCTTGCTTACAATTAACAATTTTTTTTTTCTTTTCAAGGCCAGGAGACAGGCATCTCAAGTCTTTACAGCCGAGAAGATTCCTTGAAGAATTAAGTATTTCAGTGGAATTTTATTTTCCAAATTCAGATATTAAATTCCTTAATGTAACTTACAAATCTGTGAATTCTCTAAATATTCAACTTTTAGTTTCTAAAATGTCTAAATTATATTAGTGATTCATTGTTTAGAAATTATTTAGAAAAATATATTTGCTTTGTGGGTTTTGTATTTCTTATCCATGGTTCAGAAACTGATTTGTATAATAGTCATATGTAATATTTATTGGGTCCTAATTGTGTTAAGTCTTTTAGTATTTTTCATGCATTAATTAGTGTAATTTTCAAAATAGTTCTATGAGAGAACTACTATTATTGGTATGAGAGGAAGCTGAAACTCTGCAAGATTAGTGATTTGCCTGGAAATTTTTTCGTAGTCAAGGATGTGAACCCAGGCTGTCTCACTTCCAAATTCTTACCAGTGTTTGGGTGGTGGGCACACAATGCAACAGATCATGTATCATAGAAATTACATTTGAAATCTGTATGATCTTATTAACCAATGTCACCCCAATAAATTTAATTTAAAAGCTTTTTCTAATAGCCCAGCCAGTGTGGTCCAGTGTGGTTCAGTGGTTGAGCGTCGACCCATGCACCAAGATGTCGCTGGTTCCATTCCCGGTCAGGGCACATGACCAAGTTGTGGGCCCAATCCCCAGTGGGGGGGCATGCAGGAGGCGGCCAATAGATGTTCTCTCTTTTTTTTGTTGTTGTTTTTTTTATCCTCACCCGAGGACATTTTTCCATTTTTTGTCCAGGTAGAGTGGGAGGGAGAGAGAGGAACAGAGAGAGAGAGAGAAACATCGATGTGAAAGGGACACATCGAGTGGCTGCCACCCTCACGACCAACCAGGGCTGGGGACAAACTGCAACCGAGGTACGCGCCCTTAGTGGGAACCGAACCCGGGTCTTTCAGGACTGCAGGCCGACGCTCTAACCGCTGAGCCAAACCGGCCAGGGCTAGATGTTCTCTCTTATTGATGTTTCTATTTCTCCTCTCCCTTCCTCTCTCTCTCAATCAATAAAGAAGAAAAAAAATGTTCTTACTAATAAAACATTCTGTTGTAAAGCATATATAAAGAAATTTTCTCCTCACCACTTAGAAATAACCTTAATAGTTAACAGGCATAGCTCTGAAAAGAGAGATTTGCTTTTGTTAAATATTCACACTCTTACCTGTACAACCGAGATTTAGAGTCTCGTGTTTAATGTGTCCTTTAGGAAAGAAACGTTCGGATTCATATTGGATATGCTATGTAAGGTTGCAAAAAAGAATTGTACACTGGCCAATATAAGCAGAACGAAATTTATTGAAAGATTATCAGAGAAGCTTACAGAATCCATAGGTAACTAGGGCACTGTGTCAAGACCAAGGCAATTCTGGAGGCTAGACTGGTCTAAGTTATAGCAGGAATCAGGGTAGAAGCCGAGGTAGAATGTCTCTACTCAATTCAGATTCCAGAGGGCATTTCTGATGCCATGATGTTTAAGCCACAGACAGAGGCAGTTTCTCAAAGGAAATCAGGGTAGATCAGGAAATGGATATCAAACAACAAAAAAGAGAAACAGCCCTGGCTAGTTTTGCTCAGCAGTTAGAACATCAGCCTGCGGTCCAGAGAGACCTGGGTTCGGTTCCCACAGAGGGCGCCTGCCTCGGTTGCAGTTTGTCCTTAGCCCTGGTTGGGTTGTGCGGGTGGCAGCCACTCGATGTGTCCCTTTCACATCAATGTTTCTCTCTCTCTCTCCCTCCCACTCTGTCTGAACAAAAAATAAAAAAATGTCCTCAGGTGAGGATAAAAAAAAGAGAAACAACAAATGTCTACTACACCATGAACAATGAATGAAAGTACAGTTGAGTGAAGTTTAATAAATATTTACTCCATCAAATACTGAAAGTTGCACTTCAAGAATGAGCAATATTGCCAATTGGAAAATTCTGGAAATCATCCTTTCTAATACTTTGTTCTTCACACTAGTAACCAGGTTTCTACTTCATATCCCCTTGCAGTTATCCTTTTTCATGCCATCATTATCTCTCACCTAGATAATGTGATAACCTGCTAACTGGACTCCCTGGCTTGAGTCTCTCAGTGCATCTTCTACACTGAAGCCAAATGTTCATTACAAATGTGATTTTGTCGCTTCCTAGTGGAGTCCTCTTCTTTGTTCACAGGTAGAATCCAGACATCCCACGTTATCTGGGCCCTGCCTGCCTCTCCAGGCTCATCTCGCCACTCTCAAAATTCCCCTCCTTTTAGCCCAAAGTCCTTTACCAGAATACACTTGGTGCTGCTTATGACCTATTTACCTTTAGTTCTCCACCTCTTAGAAGTGCTTCCTAAACTACTCAAGTGTAAATAAATGCACCGTCTAAGTATTTGATAAGCAATGTTTGTAGATCAGTGACCTGCAAACTGCCAGTCAGTAGCCTTAGGGTACCTGGCACGTACAAGGCTTAAAAATACTTTTAGGGAATGAAAATAATAGTTTTAGAGAAGCAGTGGTAGGAAATATTAGTCTGAAGTCCCAGATATCCCCGCTAGCCATCTCTGTGCAAACCGATTTTTCCCAAGCAGAGCAAACCAATTTCTATAGGATGAAAGGAGACATTAAGGAAGTTCTTTAAGAAGTAATAAGTAAGAAGATTAAAAATTTGAGTGTTCACAAAGTCTTTAAGTGGGTGATGGAATTATAAACTCTCCTTATCAATATTTTGGCTTCAATAACTCTTGACACAAAAAATATTGAAGTGCCCAAGAAGCTTTTGTATGTTATATATTTTCATGTTTGCCATATTAGAAATTAAACCTGAGACATGAAAACAAAAAAAAAAAAGCATTAGTTGTAGCTCTTAGAAGAGTGATGTAGAACATCATTCATCCTCTGAAAAATTCATTTAGCCTTTCTATAAGTACATATTAATAATTCCAAATATGAAATTCCAAATTTGATATTTTCAGGGAGTAACATTTTGCACATGAATAGTTGCCAATTATATATATTACTTATAGTTAGACATACATCAGTAGTTTGTAGTAGTAGTAGTATCATAAAACTGGGCCAATTTTAATTTAGTATATACACTGCAGAAACAAGCACCCAATTTTATTTTTGTTAGTCATAATCATTTTCCTCTTCTTCATCTTCATCAGTGTCTTCGTTTTCCTTGGCTGGAAGTACAGCTGCTTCTTGAGCAGCCTTGAACGCCTGCTCCTCTTCCACACTGGGGTCAGCCAGTTCTGTAATTTCTGGTCCGCTGGGGAATTCTTGACAAACTGGTGGTGGAACTGGGGGTGTATAGCTGTCTGGACTGTATTTATAACCCCAGCCTATGTAGAGATTTTCAAACTTTCTGTAAGTTAAAAAAATGTAGATGATCATTACATAATTTTTCAGTAAGAAAAGTTGACCTTCCTTCTCTTGTAATGATGAAGTGCTTAAAGTATCATAGTCCCAGAATTTTAAAACAATACATTTAAAATGCATTAGAAGTGAAATACCCCTAAATGGTTCTAGCACAGGGCATTTCTATGATCCAAGCTGCTTACATTGGTTAAAAGAAAAACATGGGGCCAGACCCTGTCAAAATGTACCCTACACCCAAACCATAGCCTTTGATTATTTATTTTCAGAAAAATAAAAAAAACTAAATTAAAAAGTTACTCCCTTTATTAGAGTTAGAAATAATTTAAAAGTTTCCAACCTAGCAAACTCTTGGCTGGGGGAGAAGTGGGCTCATGGTTAAAGGCCTATATAGGATTTTTCAGGCCCAACCATGGGCAATCACAAAGGCTTTTCCTGGCATGCCAAACAGGAAAATGGTCCTCTCCACACCAGATTCGGTGCACAGTCAGCACACTGCAGCCTCAGGGGAGTTGCAGTCTCCATCTCTGGACCCTCTGGACTGTCATGCTCTTGACATATTTCCATTCCTAGCTCAGTTGCCTTTACTTCTAGGTCTCCATCTGAGACCAGTAAAGGTCTTCAGGTACCTCTGCCCAGGCCTCCATATGGGGGTTAGATTAGAAAAGGGGAAACCTTAAAGGCACTTTTCTCTACTCTCAGTATCCAGTACTCTTCCCTAGCTCTCCCCCACTTCCCCTGACCCCCTGGTCCATAAAATTGCAAGAGCTTTATGTCAGGGACTCCCTTATCAGAGCTATGACCCCCACATCTGTGCTGATACACCTGACCTTCCACCAGTGTGCCGTTCCATGGGGGAAAAGTGGAACAGGGTCCAGGAGCAGGGGAGGGAATCATGCTTTCTCTTGCTGCAACCATCACAGTGCTTTTTCATGCTTTCATTTGCAGCCTTGTTGTTTTAATGACCTCTAACATTTAGCAGCTCAGCTCTCTCTTCAGCTCAGCTTAGCTTCTGACACTGGTTATTAGGTAAGAAATGGAAGCATAAGACACAAGGAAGTAAGGGATAAAGGACAGCATCCTCTTGATCCTAGTTCTCTTGAAAAATGATGGCATAAATAATACATATTTTAATTATCTTTTATCAAGATTTCCAACAAAAATAATGGGAGATTTAAACTAATTTAAACACTGCTTATAATTACTTCAATTAAATAAATGTCAACTATTCTAATAATTATAGAAGAAAAACATGTATTAGCTTCATTAATTGAATAATTCAGATGAAAAGGCAGAGGTCTAAATTCTCTAAATTTGATGCTTTACTGTATAATACAAATGTTTGAATATATCTTGCTAAAAGTGAATCAAAACAATAGTAACTTGGGATTCCAGTGATGACTTATACTTTACAGAACTTAAACAATCACAGTAATAACTTTGAAAGTTGTCAGATACTTACTTGCCATTGCAAAAGGCATATGCTCCAGGCCACAGGTTGGATCTGAGAACAGCAATAGCATATTGAGGAATGAGATTTGAAGACAGTCGTGCTGTCCAAGGTGGTATATTCTGGATCTCTATAAATCAATGAGAAATTCAAAAGCTTAACTCCTAAATAGACAAGGATATACTGTGTCACAGAGAAGTTATTTTTGTAAATCATAAAACACATTTGACATAGAAAAAAATGTTAAAATATCAGTAGATTAACATCAAACCAGGGAGAATTTTATGAACATTGTGGAATAATGAAATTTGGATATTTATACACTATATAGCAATATCATGTATTTCTGGTCATCTGTAGAATGCAAGACAAGAATGATGCTCAAGATAACTGTCAGCATTTCAGTAAGGGCTGCAGCCTACTTATGTTTCCTCCTGCATAGCACTTCTTTAACTTCTGTCAGAGAAAGTTGTGGTTTGGCCAGCTACATTCTATATTCCCTACCATATACTATAGTGTGTGTGTGTGTGTGTGTGTGTGTGTGTGTGTGTGTGTAGATATATAGATATAGTGTATTATATATACATGGAATATATATATAGTATATACATATATGTGATATACATATATTATATACACTATATATAAAATATATAGTACATTGTATACCGTGTATATTTAATTACTATATTATACATATGTATTATTACTATACTATATATATAGTATATATATAGTATTAAATATGCATAGTATATATAGTATACATATATATTACACAGTATACATATACATGGTATATGTACATATAGTATAATGCACACAGTAATTACATATAAAGTTTGTGTAAAATTACCTAAATCTTCAGAGATTGGTGTCAAGAGAGGAGGCCCCACTTCCTGTTCTATGTAGTCAGGTTCTTCTCCTTTTTCTTTTTCTTCTTCTTTTTCTTCATCTTCTTCTTCTTCCTCTTCACTTTTTTGTATGGGGTTGAACCAATTACAGCGACCCTGAGTATGGATATTGTAAGATGAGGACCTTAAAATATCAGAGTATTCATTTGGATTGAAGCAATTATCTAACAAATTTCCACTCTGGAAATTTAATCATTGATTAAATTTAATCATTGATTCATTCATTTTTTTATTTATTCATTTAACATACATTTACCAAGTGCTATTATGATCTAGGTTTTTTTTCAAGCAAAAGATTGTACTATTTATTTCAAGAATTTGCCAACGACATTACATTATAAAACATTTATATTTTAAAATTAGCAGTGATGCCCTGGCCGGTTTGTCTCAGTGGTTAGAGCTTTGGCCTGAGACCCGGGTTCAGTTCCCGCTAAGGGCACATACCTCAGTTGCAGTTTGTCCCCGGCCCTGGTTGGGTTGTGTGGGTGGCAACCACTCGATGCGTCCCTTTCACGTCGATGTTTCTCTCTCTCTCTCTCTCTCTCCCCCTCCCACTCTATCTGAACAAAATATCAAAAAATGTCCTCGGGTGAGGACAAAAATAAATAAATAAATAAATAAATAAATAAATAAATAAATAAATAAATAAATAAATAAAATAAAATAAAATTAGCAGCTACTCGCCCTGGACGGTTTGGCTCAGCGGTTAGAGCGTCGGCCTGCGGTCCTGAGAGACCCGGGTTCAGTTCCTGCTAAGGGCATGTACCTCGGTTGCAGTTTGTCCCTGGCCCTGGTCGGTTGTGCGGGTGGCAGCCACTCGATGTGTCCCTTTCACATCGATGTTTCTCTCTCTCTCTCTGTTCCTCTCTCTCCCCCCTACTCTACCTGAACAAAAAATGGAAAAATGTCCTCGAGTGAGGATAAAAAAAAAAAAAAAAAAATTAGCAGAGACTTAGTAAAAAAAAGTTAACAATGCATTTTACTAATTTGTAATAAATAATTTCTAGGAAAGATCTAAATAATACTATTATTAATAAAAACGGAATAAGATTAGGTATGAAGGTTGGGGGTTATAATTCCTGATCTAATTAGCTCTTATCTAAAGATATATACGAATAAGTCATATGTAGTTCCAACTATAAAGAAGATTTTCTACCTGCAGATGAGGCAGTATGGCAGAGTGATTAAAAGAAGGAATTGTGGCCCTGTCCAATTTTGCTCAGTGGTTAGAGCATTGCCCCATGGACTGAAGGGATGGAAGTTCAGTTCTGATCAAGGGCACGTACCTGGATTGCAGTTTTGATCCCCAAACCTGTGGTCATGTGGTAGGCAACCAATCAATGTGTCTCTCTTGCATCGATGTTTTACTCTTTCTCTGTCCCTCCCTCCCTTCCACTCTCTCTGAATAGCAATGAAAAATGTCCTCAGGTGAGGATTTTTTTTTAATTTGGTAAAAAAAGGATGAACTTTGGATCCGTTATGTCTACTCACATCTCACCCTGTTGCTTATTAGCCATATTACTTCTTTTACATTTTCTAAACTCTGCCCCAATTCCCTCATCTGTAAAATAAGGATATTATTAGTTTTTATACAGTTATGAGTATTAAATGAAGTAATGCATATAAAGTGCTATTAAAAGAGCACTTAGCAGAATATGTGCTATATAACTTATTTAACACTGTTTGCTTATTTTTATTTTTATTATAATCTTTTAATGTTCTTGGCATAAAATCTCCATGTATTATAGAAATAGAATAAAAGAACTGTTCCCAAAATTAGTGCATACATCTATATTTAACAAATAAAAATAATTTCACAACAAACACAAATATAAATCCTTATACAACTTGTCAAATACTCCATAGAAATAATTATCTTATTTCTGTTTGGAAATAAAAATCTGTTTGAAGACTTCAGGTCTTCACTACTTGGCAATTATTTAGTACTCTGATTTCACTTTATTTTTTCAATGCTCTCTTTTTCTGTCTAGAGTCTGAATATATGTGTGCACTGTAGACCGAATTTAATAAATATGTGCTGATAGATCGAGAATTGCAAATCTCCTACCTGAGGGAGAATATGTTGTACATGATGAACCCAATTTGATAGGGATTCCACCAGATCAACCACTTGGATGCCTTCAAAATCAGGATTTTCTTCAAAGCTATCTTTCCCACCTTCTTCTTCTTCCTCCTCCTCTTCTTCCTCCTCACCAAACTGATAGAATCCTAGAGGACTAACATGGGTCCCTGCTGAAATCCTGGCAATCTGTGCTCGTAAATAATTACTCTCATTTCCTGGGAAAGGTGGGTAGCTTGTGATAGGAGTATCCAATCGCCCAGTGAAAAATTTCTTGATTTTTCTTGCAATAACAATTTGTGCAGGTGTAACTGATGGTAACTTCACCCATGGTCTTCCTGGTTCATTGCAAACAAAATAGACATATTTGTTGGCACCTGTTCTGCTTTCTTCTTTTGGTACAGGCTGTGGGGCCTTGTAAAAGGACCGTGGTAAGTCATCTTCATCGCCTTCTTCACATTCACTCTCTCCGTTGCCCCTCTCTTCAGTCATATCTTCCTCTTCTGCCTCCTCTTCATCTTCTCCCTCACGGAATTCCACTTCAGCTACAATATAATTCATTTCCAGACCCAAGACCTTACCCCAGAAACGGCATCTTTGGATTGGGTGGGTGTCAGTAAGCTGCTTGAGGGCAAGAAATATACGATATGTCTCATCTGTGCCCAAACCAACTCCAGCTTGTTCAAAATAAAAGGCTGACTCCATTACATTTGGAAGAGAATTTTCTGCCTGGGAATACAGATGTTGTGGTTAACATGTTATCTATAAAGAGAACTGCTTGTGTCCTGTTTCCATTTTAAACATATTTATTAGCTGTACTTTCTCTCTATACCACTTCTTTGATATTTCTTTCAAGACTTAAATCACTCTATTAATTTGTGAATTTCAGTTATCTAATTGCTTGTTAATATGGCTTCTATCATTGTGTTTTACACTCATCAATATATTATAATAATCTTGTATATATGAATCTTAGGCAGAGAAAACTTAATAATCATTATGAAAAATAAAAATTCAACATCCCCTGTTAATAAGAAAAATGTTTAAGTGGCCCCTTTACTATCTTAATATAATAAAATATACTACAACTTACCTACACACATGTATTTAGAAAATGTTTATACATATAAATATATATGTTTATATATGTTTATTCAGGTATATCTCATTTTATTGTGCTTTGCAGATACTGCATTTTTTTTTCTTTACTGATTTTAGAGAGAGAGGAAGGGAGAGAGAGGGAGGTAGAAACATCAATGAGAGAGAACATAGATTGGCTGCCTCCTGCATGCCCTCCTGGGGATTTGGCCCACAACCTGGGCATATGCCCTGACAGGGAATTGAAGCAGCAACCTCTTGGTGCATGAGTTGACACTCAACCACTGAGTCACACCAGCCAGGCCAGATACTGCATTTTTTACTAACTAAAAGTTTGGGGCAATCCTGTATCAAACAAACCTACAACACTATTTTCCTACAGCATTTGCTTACTTCATGTCTCTGTCACATTTTGGTAATTCTAACAATATTCAAATTTTTTCATTATTATTATACGTGTTACGGTGATCTGTGATCAGTGCTCTTTCATGTTACTATTGTAATTTGGGACATCGAACTGGGACCTCTCAATAGATGGGACAACTCTCAATCCACTGAGCCATACCAGCCAGGCTTAAGTCCTATCTATTATTTAAGAAATACATGCCATAAGTCTGTAGCTGCCACAGTCCTCTGATGGATATGGGCAAAGTAAATCGAGAACTTTCTGGAAAGGATTCACTTTTTTACATATCATTAAAAACACTTGCAATTTACAGATAGAGGTCAAAATATCAACATTTACAGGAGTTCAGAAGAACTCTCATTGATCACTTTGAGGGGTTCAAGACATCAATGGAGGGAGTAACTAAAATGTGATGGAAATCGAAAGAGAACTTGAATTAGTAGAGCCTATCCCTGGCCAGTTTGGCTCAGCGGTTAGAGGGTTGGCCCACAGACTAGAGAGACCCAGGTTCAGTTCCAGCCAAGGGCACGTATCTTGGTTGCAGTTTGTCTCCGGCTTCAGTTGGTGGCAACCAATCGATGTGTCTCTCTCACATCGATGTTTCTCTCTCTCTCCTTTCTTCTCTCCCTCCCGCTCTATCTGAAGATAAATGCAAAAATGTCCTCAGGTAAGGATTAATAAAAAAAAAAAGATTTGCTGCAATCTCATTTTAAACTTTAATGGATGAGGAGTTGCTTCTTATGGAGGAGCAAAGAAAGTAATTTCTTGAGATGGAATCTATTCTTAATGAAGATAGTTGAAACAACAATAAAGGATTTAGAATATTACATAAACTTAGTTGACAAAGTAGCAGTAGTATTTGAGAGGATTGACTCCAATTTTGAAAGAAGTTCTATTGTGGAAACTATCAAACACCATTGCATCTACAGAGAAGTTGTTTGTGAAAGAAAGAACCCATTGATGCGGAAAATTTGTTGTTGTCTCCTCTTAAGAAATTGTCACATGCACCCCAACCTTTAGCAACAACCACCTGATAGTCAGCAGCCATCAACATCGAGGTGAGCTCCTCCACAATAAAAAAGACTACAACTCTCTGACTGCTCAGATGATGGTCAGAATTGTTTAGCAATATGATATTTTTTTAGTTAAAGTATGTACATTGTTTTTACCACCATATGAAGTTATCTCTGTTATTGCACTAATAAAACAGCTTTACAATTGTTTTTGTCTCTTTCACTAGACTGAACAACTTAAAGTCAGAAAAGTCTTTTTCATGTGTGTATCTCAGTACCTGGCATGCAGTAGAGAGCTGGATGTTTTTTAATGAATGAATGACTGAAAAAATGAATGCTGAAGATGAAGAGTAGGATTTTTGGTGTGATCCAAGACAGTAACAGATGCATACACTCTAAACGTGTAAGTCTGGAACAGAATCGGTCACAAAGCTCATATTCCAGGACCTACCTGTCTTTCTGTTTCTGCATGTTTCTACCCTCTGAGGTAGAGCTTTTAATCTTCATTGATGACTCAACTATTTCTGGCTCAAAAACCAATCCTACTGTTTAGGAGAAATTTATTCACTCTGGTTAAGAGGCTCAGGTTCTAGGATTAAACCAGTTTATCTGTATTCCCACTTTGAATCTTAGTTTTAGGACACAGATCCCTCCTTTACAGCGCTGTGCCTATAGATACCCCAATACCCCATTCTTCCACTGGAGTTTGACCTTTGATAAATTCCTCCATGAGAGTGTCTGCCTTCTACTTGATCCCTAAATGCTGTTTGCCTCCAGACTCATCTTCTCTGGATGTGGCTACATAACGAAAAATGTTTGGAGTAGGATGTTTTCAGAAAAGAACAGCTGATGTCAGTTTCTTAATACCTTTCACCTGTTCCCTCTGAGTATTCTGTGTCGCACTGTGTCAAGCTGGGTCTCCCCACAAAGACTGGGAGCCTTGAGGGCATATCTACTGTCCAGATCCTCATCCCTCCTATCTTTTCCCTGACCAAACTCTTTGCCCTTTTCTGAAATTATATGATTTTAACATCAAATTTGTAAACATATAGACAGGTTTTTAAATAATCTAGAGGTAACAGAACACAGAAGCTCAGTAGATATATGAATTACTCAGTGGTATAAATTACAGTCATATAGGCATTTAGGAAACAGAATACTGGATACTATTTTGAAATATTTGTAGCTAGAATTTTTGTGATATAACTGACTTTATTTTCTAATGATAGCTTTTTATCTCTGTCATCACTTTCTCTGTAAATATTTTCAACAATTTGTCTCTGGGAATTAAAAGACATATTTCATTTATCTCCTCTTGTATTATGTCTCATTGACATAATATACATAATATCAAGACACAATATGAGGAAGTTGCCTTGGAAGAGAATGAAAATTACGTTAGAAGTACTTCTAATTATTCTAGTAAAATTAAAGGGAAAATATGCAACTCAAGTTAAAGCCTAATTTTAAATTACCTGACATTAATTCATTCAACAAGTATTTAATAAGAAACAGCTATAGTCCCATATCTGTACCAGGCACTTTGGAATATAAAAGATGAAGAAAACATTTCTCTGGTTTATAAATACCTCAACCCCACAAACATGTAAAATACTAAACCACAATTAGAAAAATAAACTCTAAACAAGGAAGTGAGTGGTGTGAAAGGAGGTTGAAAATACTATTTTGCAAGCTATAAAAGACTTGATATGAATTTAAAGCACTCACCTCAAATAAAACCTTAAGATTGAACTATTCAGATTTATGGTAGTAACTTACTATTTCATCTTCCAGTTCTTGGTCAGCTTCTTCTAAATTTCCCTGGAGAAAAAGAGCCTTTTGCTTCTCTGCTATTTCATATGTTGGAAGCATCTCGTTCTCATTTTGGAGTGTGTCTAATTTTATACTAAAATGTGCCATCTTCACATCTTGACTGATATTTTCAATGATGTCCACAGCATTGTCAGGACGCTCATCTAAGATCTTAGTCAGCATATTAGAAAGATGATCATATCTACCCAAAAAGGGAAAATTCCAGGTAATACCCATGTCAAAAGCATTTGAAAAAGCATTTTATGCAAAGTTAGCTGGTTTTTAGGAAACTTCAACAACTCAAAGCCTTCAGAAATTTTCAGTGAATAAACATGATCACTTCTGCCACAGCCTGAAAAACCTATTCTAGAATTTCCCTTAGAAAATACCTCCAACATGATATGAATATTTAAGATATTAAAGAAAAACATGTCACAGAAAGATACATATTTTACATCAGGAATATTTCACATTTTATTTGAGGTTGAAATCCCTAAGTTATATATTTTAAAGTGATCAACATTTTAAATTTTTTTTACTTTAACTTCTTTTCCATTCATTTCCCCACCCTTGCCAAATCTAATTTGATTTCTCAATCTTACTGACTCTCTTAAAAGATATGTTCTCTTCTGTTTCATTTCCTAGGCCCATTATCTACTTCAGTGACTTTTAAATCTGTAAGACATACATTTCATATTGCAACCCCTGCCCACACACAGCTGAAAGAAAAGTGTCATAAGGTATTATTCACCATTATTAAAAGGTAACACACTCTATTTGCTCTATTAAAAACACTGCCCTAGCTTTTTATTTCATAACTAGTGAAGCTGCATCTAGCCTCTCATTAATTCATTACATTTTATACAGAACAGCTAAGATGTGCCTTTTCACAATGCAGAGGATTAACCACTATGCGGCCATAGCTATGGTGTGCCCTTGCAAACACCAGACTTGCAGTGTGAATTTACTAAGAACCAAATTGTCTGTCAAAGTGCTCTCAGGTGAGGTAAAACTCCTTTGTCCAATGTGGAAACTCACATAAATTTCCTCTCACGGATAAGCATTATATCTCTCTAATTTCATTTCTAATAAGTAGTTCAATTATAACTACTGCACCAGTGAGGTAAATCTACTACAAATCACTTTAATATAGTAAAGTCCCACCTAAGAGCCTTTGTTTGCTGTGCCCTATATATGTCCTTTCTCTCAAGAAATCATTTGAAACCACTTTGTCCTCAGGTCATCCCTGAAAACCATTCTTCCTCACTTTAGAATGGGCCTGAGATCACAAATATGCTGCTTTGTACTGTATACATTATATATTTCCCATTCAGCAACTGCATTCAGTTCTTATATCGCCAAAACTGGGTTTTTGTTTTTGTTTGTTGTTATCATCATATATGTCCTCCCTTATTATAATGAATCGAGATAGATGCTCAATAATTGCTTTATTTCTGCTCATTGACCCTAGCTATTACATTTGATTTTTTGTCTTTAATATCTGTATTCATCAAAAGATCTTTAAAATGTCAAAGAAAAATATGTAGATCATATGGGCAACCAATTTAAAGGACAGTTTTGAAATATAGATAAAGAATATATCATTCTTTTCCAGAATATTTAGAACTTCCTCAAGCTTTCTTGATATTTGTTCAGTACTCAAACTCCTGGAAAAGCCTCCATACTAAAAATATTGCATACTAAATATAAAGGCAGTAGCTGGGGTTGTAACTGGAATCTTTAATTTGCTCAAAAAGGGGCCATGCACACCATCAAATCAAAGAATCTAAGTCCAAATGTTTATTTTCTTTTTCAGGTTTTAATGTAATATCTATATGTGCTTTATAGTTCCTCGGGCAAAATATTGTTTTAAGAAGTGAACACCTTTTTTGTCAAATTATAAAATATGTTTATTAGATATTAATTCATAATTATAGCTTTTTCAATTTGGGGAGGATTAATAATTTGTTTTAATAAAATCACAGCAAAGGAGAAAGCCATGTTTGTAGGCTTTTTATGCAGCGATGTAAAATAAAAACAATATCAGATCTTGTACTTTAGTGAAAGATTGTTTTAATTATACAACAACAAAAATCGTTCTCATGGCTATCAAATAGGATTTGCATATAAAAGATTGAGGTTTATTTTTAGGAAGAAGTTATTAACTACAGACTCTAAAATACTTAAAAGATAATAGTGAATATTATAGAAGATATTCATGTGTTACCTCAAAGGCTTAGCATTTTGAAATAAAATAAAACTTAGATATTTAAATAATGTTTATTATAAAACAATTCAGTAAAGAAAATTTTCCCATTTTTGTGGTTTTGCACTTGGTTTTATTTTTTTTATTTTTATGTTTCTTAAATGTGTGCATTGCTATTTTTTTTTTTCCTTTATTGATTTGAGAGAGAGAAAGTGAGAAGGAGAGAAGATAGAATCATCGATGAGAGAGAACAGCAATTGGCCACCTCCTGCATGCACCCCACTGGGGATCGGGCCCACAACATGGGCATGCATCCTGACTGGGAATCAAACCAGCGACCTCTTGATGCATGGGTCAGTGCTCAACCACTGAGCCACACCCACCGGACTGCACTTGGTTTTAAATAGTTAGTGAGATCTCACATATTTATAATGAGCTCTTATGGACTTATAACAAAGCTTGTAAATTCATGCTTGTTATTTAACCCAGGGCATTATGATGAGAGGTTTATATGAGAAATGCAAGTAGAATCCACTAATGAGCAGATCACATCCCTGAAGCTTAAGTGAGTTGTAGTTTAAAACAGTAATTTATAAATACTATTTTAAATGGTCAATCTTGTGAAAGATTTTACACATTAAATATTAACATGTTTTATTCTTTAGACCTTAAAATTATGGTTACTAGTTCCCCTGGTTTGCCTAGACAGGTGTTTCAGGGTTCAGCCTGCAGTGCTCACATCAGGATATAGCTGCTCACTCAGGACCGGCTGGAGAGAACTCAAAACCAAGCCATGGAAGCTCTAGAATGCTTAGCTTAGAGCCATGCGCTCCCTCCTGATCACTGGTAGAAAGTGTAACTTTCTACAAGCATCTTGGAGAGACACTTGGACTTCACTATCTTTATAGTCTCTTTCAAACCCAAGATTCCATAATTCCTAGGTTTTGTTTCTCTGTGCCAAAGGTCTTTTTTATTTATTTATTTTTTCTTTATTGACTTTTGAGAGAGAGAAGGGAGAGGGAGAGAGAGATAGAAACATCAGTGAAAGAGAATATCGATTAGCTGCCTCCTGCATGCCCCCACTAGGGTGGGGCCCACAACCTGGGCATGTGCCCTGACCTGGAATCGAACTGGTGATCTCTTGGTGCATGGGTCAGTCCTCAACCACTGAGCCACACCGGCCGGGCTGTGCCAAGGGTCTTTAAAGAAGCTAGAAGAATCCACACCAAAGACCTATTTTGAGTACTGTGATGTAAAGAGTTAAGTCACGAACTCATACTAATACAGACTTTTCAAATACATTTTCATTCACCCACAGAAACTAAACACACTCTCACAGAGACACCCACACCCCCTTTTCTTTGCCATACTTCTCTCTCTCTCTCTGTCTCTCTCTCTCTGTCTCTCTCTCTCTCTCTCTCTCTCTCCCTAACTTACAGATTTAAGCCCGACTTGCTGCTGGTTTTCAGTAGGTACGCCTTAGCACTCTGAACGGCAATCTCAAGCATGCTGGGGGCCTCTTCAGGCTCAGCCTCATCCAGATCATAATTACTGTTTGACTCTCCTTCCTGAAAAATGTCAAATCTCAGTTCTTTTTGTTTAGAGTCGTTACAGCTCACATCCCTTGGTTCATATAGGTGACCGTTGGTTTGCTGATACTGTTGAAAGGTGTCCTCTTTTGATTGGCATATTTGTTGAATGGATTCTCCGCTATCAAATGACTGTTTCAAAGGGTCAGTGTGAGGTGTCACCGCTTCAGGAATCACACCAGTGGTCTTGACTGACTGCCACGGTGCGGCAAGGGCCTGTCGGGACAGGGCCGGAGGAGGAGTGGAAAAGGGCTCCTGAGGAGGCGAAGGTGGCGATGACGCACCTGGTCCTGTGAGGTCATCCACAGCTGTGCTTCCTCCAGACCGCGGGCTCCGAAGTGGGCTGCTCTGGGGCCGGGGTCCAGTGTCAGGCCCCTGCTCCGACTCTGGGGGTTCCGATAACGCAGGCCTAGGATCTTGGGAAGAAGCCGCTGTCATTTGGTACCATGGCCTCCCTTCTTCCCCCCGTTCCAGGTTTTCTTTTTCTTGCTTCAGGGAGCTCGAGTCTTCCATAGAAGAAGTCAAGGGGAAAAAAGTTCTGGATGAAAGGGTCGTGCAGATATGGAAGGAGTCGACGCAGGACAGTCGCTCTGCTGAGGTATTAAGTAATTTCTGGGTCCTGGTTGCTCCGCAGGTTGCAGCGTCCTGTCTCCATAGCAACCCCGGGCAGCGTTCCTCTGGGAGAAACACTGTTGCTAGGATTCTAGGGAGGAGCCCGGCAAATCCTGGATTTGTGATTTGGTGAAGCCTGTGCTCCTCTTCCCAGCCCGGCCAATCCGACCTGCAGTCGACCAGTTGTGGTTGGAAAGCCGAGAAAATGTAGGACACCGGAGCACAGAGGAAGAGGAGCCTTGACCCTGAGCTGGAGGATTTTCTCCATCTGATAGTTTGATTCCAGCAGCGCGGTGTGTGGCGAATTGTTCCCTAGCAGAGGGATAATGCATTTCCAAAGCTTGGGGGCGGGGAGGCGGGCCTTACGTATCTTGAGGTACAGGTGACGATGAGACTCCAGTGTGCAGATCAGGAGAGCTTAGAAGGCAAAGGTGTCTCATCCTGCAACCCAAACTCGAGAAATTTTTGGAGGATAAACAAGGAAATCCTAAACTGACCTTCCTTAACTAACATTGCACAGATTAAATGTTCTACATATTCAAAAGACACTTTTTTTACATGACCAAGTCACTTTTAATACTAATTATTCATATTGATGTGGTGGTGGACTTTTTACCAGTTACTTTTCCAGCAGACTTTCCCATATAGTCTATGGTTTCTTATAAGAGAGAGGATGTAATGATGATACCAGAGCCCAAACAAAACACAGCTCATATTATCCCTGGTCATTTACAATGTGATAGATCTCAAAATAATATTTAGATATTTATCACTTTCCCCCCATTTATTATGAGTCTAGGTACATACTATAGCACCAATTGAAGACCACCAAACTCTCTTTTTAAATCTTGAGTACATTTTGTTTATCATCCTAACGATAACAAACTTGAGGGCATCTTTCTTCTCCTTCATGAATTGTCAATATCATTCTCAAAAAAAAAAAAAAAAAATGAGCCCTAGCCGGTTTGGCTCAGCGGTTAGAGCATCGGCCTGCGGTCTCGTGAGACCCGAGTTCGGTCCCCGCTAAGGGCATGTACCTCGGTTGCAGTTTGTCCAGTTTGTCCCCGGCCCTGGTTGGGCTGTGTGGGTGGCAACCACTGAATGTGTCCCTTTCACGTTGATGTTTCTCTCTCTCTCTCTATCTCTCCCTCCCACTCTATCTGAACAAAATATTTAAAAAAAAAAAAATGTCCTCGGGTGAGGATAAAAAAAAAAAAATTGATTATTTTCTTTATCTTCCACAAATCTGTCTGTATTTTTTATCTGCAACACTTCAGAAAGTATTTCTTTTTATAGGATGCTATCCTTTATTCTAGAATATACTACTGCTTTATCAATTGTAACCTTTAATCTGGAGCCACAGCCTTAACTGAAGACATATCCCACATTCAGTCCTTTTCTCTAAGTCCTTTCTTCACCTGTATCACAGCCAGATTTATCATGAACTAATGAGACTTAAGCTTCAGGGTCCCACCCTTGCATAGGCGTCCTGCCATGTCCTGCCCTTAGTTTTGTATTCTTTTTCCTATGAAACCCCTCCAAGTTATATGAGCTTCTGCCTCCTCAAACTGTCCTATTCCTATACAGAACTCAAAAGGAAAAGGCTCATATGAATAAAAAGCAATAGGGTCCTGATTTGACCTGAGATTATATATAACATCACAGATGAACGGTCTAATTCTCTTGGTGGCCAACTCTTTTATGTTAACTTTCAGTAAATGAATGTAATTCACTGTGGCTTTTGCTAATTTTAAGTGCAGTCTTCTACAGAAGCCTATTTCACAGTGAAAAAATAACACTTTGGGGAACATCCATGTACCATGAAAGTGATATAAAATACTTTGATGGCTACTGAAACCTACCACTATTATATACAATTATTGGCAACTAAAAGCAACAAAATTGTTTTACTACAGTGCTCCCCTCCCCTTAGCACGTGTAATAAATACATTAGGTTGCTGAAATATTTTTAAAGCACTGTGTCATACCACTGTCAATAATGTATGTGAGTGTGTTCACTCTAATCTACATGATAGTACATTTTTTTCTTACAATTTACTTATTTATTTTACTATACATGAACATTTGGTTGTTTTTATTTGTTGACTGTCACAAAAGGTGGTGCCTTAAAATGGCTTATGATTATAAATTTATTAAACTTGTCTTTAAAGTTTCTGCCACTGCTTTTATGCTTTAATTTTTTTCCCTATTTGGAAATTATAAACAAATTCACCTCTATTTTTTCTAGTCATTCAAAATGATTTTATAGTAAATATTTAAACTAATTTCACTAATACATGTGAAATTAGTTTAGTGAGTAATATAAATACAATTTTTTAATCCAAATAGTTAAAGGATTAAACCATTAGATGATTAATCCATCTTTGGTTCTCTGGCTTTTAGTGTAAATTTTAGTGATCTGGCCCTGGCTGGGTAGCTCACTGGATTAGAACGTCATCCCGATATGCCAAGGTTGTGGGTTTGACTCCTGGTCAGGGCACATACAAAAATCAACCAATGAATGCATAAATAAGTGGAACAACAAATCGATGTTTCTCTCTCCCTCTCTCTCTAAAAATCAATACATTAAAAGGAATTTTAGTGATCTGGTAAATTATTACATAGATGCATGTGCTTTTACTTGAGTTCTCTATTTCAACATTTACAATGATTTTAAATCAAAGAATGAATGTTTAATTACAATAAAATAAATTTTAATATTTCATTGATACTAAATTTAACTGTAGGTAAAGAAAAAATACACACTACAGAAAACTCTCTCAGAACATTTATAATTCACATTACATGTTTTCTGTTTTTTACTTTTTAATACAGGCTATCAATGCAGACTATCTCTTAAGTCATTTTAATATTTGAAATTTCAAAGTGTTTATAAAACTCATGGCAACTCATCTAAGCACAGTTTACTCATTTTTTATGAATAAAGTTTCATAGTTAACATTTATACAAGATGCACAAATTAATGTGTATATTAAAATAGGCTCTCTAGTTAGCAAATTTTTTTTAGAATTCTTTTACATTGATTCTACTCCTCATTTATATCCCAGATGAACTTCAAAGGAAAGTCTTTCATTTTATTTTGGAATATTTTGTCAAATCTTTCATTTTGCTCCACTGTCAAATGATGCTTCCAGTCTCCAATAGTACCTAGAGATAAGCATATGATCATCACCTGGGTGAGTAAGTGGCATTATAAGAGCAAAAGTTTCTTCCCACCCACTTTAATCTCCTGTTCAAGCAAAGCTAAATATCTGTTAGTTCTCCATGGGGTTTGATACTTCGCATTTCCTTATACACAAATGAACTAAGAATCAAACTTAAAAACACTTCCAAAGTTCACATCCTTATCTATTATACTTTCACCAACCACTACCATTATATTATAACATTTTTTGAGAAGGTATAACAAAAGTAAAATATATCACTAGGTTGGAATTTTTACATATATTTTACTAAATGTCAGGCACTAAAAAAAGACAGGACCATATGATTTTACTCAAATGTAGAATTTAATGAACAGACTGAACTAACAAGCAATATAGAGACAGGTTCATAGAGAGCAGGCAGACACCTCTGGTGGTGGGGTGGGGGAGCGTTGGGAGGGTGGAGGGATTGAGCAAAGAAGAAAAAAAAGAGAAAGAATTCATAGACATGAACAGCACTATGGTGATTGTGGTGGGAAGGTGTGGGTGCAGGTGGAAAACAGTTTAGTGGGGATAAATGGTGATGAAAAAAATTAAATTAAATAAAGATAAAAAAATAAATAAATGCCAGGCATCACACTTGGCAAACTATATCTATCATGCAATAAAATTCTTAACACAACTCCACAATATCAGTATTTCTTCAGTTTTTAAATTGAAAAAAAAATGAAAGGATTAAGAAGTACAAATGGTAGTTACGAAACAGTCATGGGATATAAAATACAGTATAGGGAATATAATCGATATTGTAATAACTATGTATAGTGTCAGGTTGGTACTAGAATTATCGGGGGGAATCACTTCATAAATTATATAAATGTCTAACCACTGTGCTGTACACTTGAAACTGATATAAAATAATTTTGAATGTAAACTATATTTTAAAAATTAAAATTAAATAACTATAAAGCTAGAGATAAATAAAATTGAAAGAAATGAAACCCAAAGATTTTCAAGTAATGAAGTCAAGGGCGCAGAGGGTTTTCAGAGCTATCATTGTTTTAGTTTTAATTGACAAAAGTTAGAAACTGTCATTAAGCCAATTTTTTTAAATCCTCACCTGAGGATATTTTTCCATTTATCTTCAGATAGAGTGGGAGGGAGGGAGAAAGAGAGAGAAAGATTAGTGTGAGAAAGACACACCAATTGGTTGCCTCCCGTACAACCCTGACCAGGGCCAGGGACCAAACTACAACCAAGGTATGTGCTCTTGACTGGAATTGAACCCACAACTCTTTGGTCTAAGGGCAGACGTTCTAACTGCTGAGCCAAACCATCTAGGGCTACAAGCCAATTTTTTTAATGAAGATTATTTGGCATCTTCAGCTATCAAATTTTCTTGTTTAAACATTATCATTGGCATTTGGAACAGTTAGCAAGCTATTTATGGGCATGAGAATTACGTTATATTTGATATAGTTAAGCAATGAGACTTGAAAGTTGATAATAAAGGGACAAAAGAAGAAACACTTAAAAAAAATAGCAATATCAAGAGTAATTTCAATAAGATCTCCATATAATTAAGAATAAAATATTCATCATCAAAATGCTAGGTTATGAATAAATTAGTGAATAAAATATGAATAAAACAGAAGACCAAATTATGTTTTAGAAAAGTGCACATTTAAAAGATCAAATTAAGTCTTGGCTGGTTTGACTCAGTGGTTGGAGTGTCAGCCCACAGACTAGAGAGTCCCAGATCCAGTTCCCGCTAAGGTCACGTACCTTGGTTGCAGTTTGTCCCCGGCCCCGGTTGGGGTCGAGTGGCTGGCAACCATTCAATGTGTCTCTCTCACATCGATGTTTCTCTCTCTCTCTTCCTCCCTCTCTCCCTCTTGCTCTATCTGAAGATAAACGCAGAAGTGTCCTCGGGTGAGGATTAAAGAGAAAAGATCAAATTAAAAAAATTTTTGCAATTAAGTATCAGGGGGAAATATATATTCATTCTTAATGCTTGGCATGCCATAGAAGCATCATAAAAATTAATTGCATGTTGTTGAATACTGGAATTCATAGAATATTGGGTTAATGAAGTATTAATCTACTTTCTACACTGAAGAAATCTGACACATGAGAAAATAATTGTAACCCAAATTCTCTCCTCCACAACAAAATACATGTTGGGTTTACTTCTAGAATGTTCTAGGAGAAACAAAGACAACAAGAATTGGAGCTGTCCTGGTCACATATATCCATTGCCTCCAGTAAGACCTGCTAACCAATTTTAAAGAGTAGGGTCACATAGACTAAAAGGAAGGAACACAATATTGATTAATTAGGTTCAACTGTTAGGCTATGTACTAAAGAATTGATCAGTTTTTTGGGATACTTTTCAGGGCTATTTGCACTTAGGATCTTTGATTCTCATTAGGTCCAAAAGACAGTATTTGAGAGACATGGTAGAAGCACCCCTTAATTAGTATAGGGGACAAGAATTCATGGAACTCTCAACACTTTGCTTCCATAAACCCCTGAGCATCACCTTTGCGCAGAAATTGTCCTTGATTTGTTCTTTTCCCAAGTTCACTTGTTAGAATTGCATCGTAATTTGCTTTTGAATCAGACTTCATGTTCTGAAATGTAGACTGTTTCACAATAGCTTCCACATCTTCTTCACTCAGTTCTTTCTCAGTGAAATGGCTGATTTTAAGCACAGAACTTCTAAGATCCTGAAAGAATTGTGGGTATGAGGAACTATTCAGCTTATAAAGAATGCATGAGTTACATCCCAACACCTTTTCTTTCTTTTTTTTTATCCTCACCCAAGGACGTTTTTCCATTTTTTGTTCAGATAGAGTGGAAGGGAGAGAGCGAAAGAGAGAGAGAGAAAGAAACATCAACGTGAAAGGGACACATCGAGTGGTCGCCAGGCGCACGACCAACTAGGGCCGGGGACAAACTGCAACCAAGGTACGTGCCCTTAGCGGGAACTGAACCCAGGTCTCTCTGCTCTGGACTGCAGGCCGATGCTCTAACCGCTGAGCCAAACTGGCCAGGGCTATCCCAACATCTTTTTTTTTTTATATCCTCACCCGAGGATATTTTTCTATTTTTTGTTCAGGTAGAGTGGGAGGGAGAGAGAGGAAGGAAGAGAGAGAGAGAAACATTGATGTGAAAGGGACACATCGAGTGGCTGCCACCCGCACGACCAACCAGGGCCGGGGACAAACTCAACCGAAGTACGTGCCCTTAGTGGGAACCAAACCCGGGTCTCTCTGGACCGCAGGCCGATACTCTAACCGCTGAGCCAAACTGGCCAGGGCTATCCCAACATCTTTATCACATTTTGGAAAACTGAAGTTGATTGGACTTATTGTAAGTCAAAATTTGACAAGGGTAGATTACTTCTTTATTCCCTCTATGAAAATGAGTGCTCTTGTTGTCAGCTTTGTTAGAGCGGAATTCCTACTATTTGATTATATAAGGACAACTCATCTTCATTCATTCATTCAACTAACACTTTTAGGATATCTTATGTTTCAGAAACTGTGATAAGTGCTGGAGAAGCTTAAGAGAACAATAATATGCTGTCTGTGCTTGTTAAGAATTCACAATTTTATGAGGCAAAGAGTAAAGCAATTAATTAAACACAATGGCTTCAAAAAACGAAAGTCCAGGTCTAGATGTCTTCACTGGTGATGTCTACCAAACATTTAAAGAATTAACACCAATTCTCCTCAAACTCTTCCAAAAAAAATCAAAGAGGAGGGGATACTTCCAAATTCATTCTATAAGGCAGTATTACCCTGATACCAAAGCCAAATGAACATATTACAAGAAAAGAAAACTAAATACCAATATCACTTATGAAAGCTAAGATGAAAAAAATCCTCAACAAATTGCTAGCAAAACAAATTCAATAACATAGTAAAAGGATTATACACCATGATTAAGTCAGATTTACTCCAGAATGCAAAGATGGTTCAACATATGAAAAATAATTAATGTAATACCACATTTATAGAATGAAGATAAAAGAAACCACATGATCACTTAAATTGATGAAGTAAAGCATTTGAAAATATTCAACACCTTTTCATGATGAAAAACATTCAAAAAGTGAAGAACAGAAACAAAAATAACCTACCTCAATATAAAAAGACTATATATGAAATACCTACTGCTTACATCATAGTCAGTAGTGAAAGACTGAAAAATTTCCCACTAAGATCAGGAACAAGGCAAGGATGCCCATTCTCACCATTTCTATTCAACCTAATACAGTAAGTCCTAGCCAGAGTAATTAGACAAGAAAAAGAAATAAAAGGCATCCAAATTTAAAGAAAGAAGTGAAATTATCTCTGTTCGCATACAACATGATTTTATACATAGAAAATATCAAAGATTCCACACACAAAAACTGTTAGAACTAATAAACAAACTCCGTAAAATTGCAGGATACAAAACCAATACCCCAAATCATTTGCATTTCTTTATATTAACAACCAACAATCCAAAACAATTTAAGAAAACAATTCTATTTACAATTACATATACAAAAATTAATTCAAAATAAATTAGATTTAAACATAAGAGCTAAAATTATTAAGCTTTCAGAAGAAGACATAGGAGAAAAACTTAATGACATTTGATTTGGCAGTGATTTCTTGGATATGACACCAAAAACAGAGGCAAAAAAAAAAGAATAGATAAAACGGACTACATCAAAATTCAAAACTTCTGAGATCAAGGAACATAAATAACAGTGTAAAAGCTACCGATGAGCCTGGCTGGTTTGGCTCAGCAGTTAGCATGCCAGCCCGTGGACCACAGAGTCCCGGGTTCAGTCCTGCTAAGGGCACGTACCTCAGTTGCAGTTTGTCCTCAGCCCCGGTTGGGGTCATGTGGGTGACAACTCTATGTGTCTCTCTCATGTTGATGTTTCTCTCTCTCTTCCTCCTGCTCTCCCTCCTGTTCTATCTGAAGATAAATGCAAAAAAAAATTATATATATATATATCTCCATCCTTGGGTGAGGATGAAAAATAAATAAATAAAAGATACCCATGAAAAGGGAGAAAATACTTTCACATCATAATCTGATAAGGGGTCATATGTAAAGTACATAAGACCTACAATTAAAAACAAAAAACAAAAAAAACCCTCAAACAACACAAGTAATTGTCCAAAGAGTAGATATTTCTTCAAAAGTAAATATACAAAAGGTCAATAAACACATGATCAAAATCACTAATCGTTAGGAAAATACAGATATAAAAAAACACAATGAGATACCACTTCACACCTATTAAAGTGGCTATTAATTTTTTTTAAGTGATGATGATAATGTGGAGAAATTGGAACCCTTGTATACTATTAATGGCAATAAATAATACAAATAGCATGGTGGTTCCTTAAAAATTTTAAAGTAGAATTATCAGAACCTCACCAAACATATCCTTTCCCTAATTATAAACCTTGCCCTCTACCCCAAAATAACCACGATTCTTATTTTTTATAACATCTTTGCTTTTATTTAAAGTGTTTAATATAAATATGAATCTCTAAACAGTATAGCTATTTCTACCTCCAATACAAGTACATACTGTAGGATACCTGAGACAATGAAGTAGTAAATGATTCTTTATAGTCACTGTGTTCCTAGGGATATAGCCTTCAAATCAGTGAGAAATGTGTAAAATTCTTTGAAGTAAGCTATTGTGGGCTTTGGGTGTTTCTGATGCAACTACCACTGGAACAGCAGGCATAAACAGTATTGGGTAAAATTAACAAGATATTTCCAAGAGAAGTAGCAGACAAGGAAAGTCCTCAAAATCCACACCAACCTGGATGGGTGCCTCATACTTGAGAAAGCTAGGATCTTTTTCTACAAAGAACTTAAAAGCAGAAAATCCTAACTTGACTAAGATCTATCTTCCCTGACAGGTGAAGTTGAAAGAAGATTCTCTTCTCTCCCTACTACATAGTTAAAAACAATTTTTAAAAAAAAATTATAATTTTTGTAAAAAATCTAGATCAAAAATACATAAACAATGGGCTACTTGGTGATACCTAGTGAGAGTATATTTATGACAGAACAGAGATTCAAGAGATTTTGCCTAGTTTATTCTGTGGTCTGTTTGTCCTCATTATCAATAAACTCTATTGTTTATTAATGCCTTTGTTGTGACCACATTTTTATGAATAAAATCAAATATGGAAATAGAGAAGAAATCCCAACTGCATTTTGAGATGATAACTGTGGTTGAAGAATGGAGATGAGGTGAGGTTGCCCAAGTTAATATCAGAATTCTCATTTGAGCTTGAGATTTGTATTTGCCACTCATTTCCCAACATCTTTTTTTTTACAGATAGAGTGGGAGGGAGAGAGAGGGAGAGAGAAACATTGATGTGAAAGGGACACATCGAGTGGCTGCCACCCGCACGACCAACCAGGGCCGGGGACAAACCACAACCGAAGTACGTGCCCTTAGCGGGAACCGAACCAGGGTCTCTCCGGACCGCAGGCCGACGCTCTAACCGCTGAGCCAAACCGGCCAGGGCTATTTCCCAACATCTTTATTAGGATTCTAAGTCACCTTAAACTCTGTATGTCAAAACCAACTCCATAATCTCCCAATAGCCTTATCCTGCTTTAGTGTTCCCTAAATACCTTCATGAATGACACCATCATCTACACAGACATATGAACCAGAAATATAGGAGGTATCTCACACATCAATCTTTCTCATTTTTTATACGTAATTTCTTTCCTTTTTATTTCCTAAGTATGTCTTAAAACTCTGCATTCTCTCCAATCTCAATGATACCATTCTAATCCAAAGCCATAATGATTTTCAGTGAATTAGCGCACTGGTCTCTAACTAGTTTGCCTATATTTACTATTATCACTTTTAAACCCATTGAAGGGAATGGCAGTCTAAAAATACTAATTCTATCATATTGATATTCTTATCATTGTTAAAGGGCTCCTTATTGCTTTGAAGATGAGGGCGGGTAGGTAAACGCAGTATCGCGTCCTCCCACAACCACATCCAAGTTACAACAAAACTTCAGAACAACCGCCTGAAATCAAGCTGCATGGAAGTCCTACAGCTACGGAATTAAAGAAGCTGCATCGAGACCGGTAGGAGGGGCGGCGGCGCGACGGGCTGGTCCCACACCCACGTGTGGCGGATAAAAATCAGGAGGACACCTCGGCTGGGAAGGTCCTTCCTGAGGACTGAGAGGTCCCCGTCCCACACCAGGTGCCCCGCTCAGGGTTCCAGTGCCAGGAAGAGAATCCCCATAACTTCTGGCTGGAAAAACCAGCGGGAACTGAGGCTCAGGGAAGCTGAAGCGGCTGGAGCCCCAGGCAGCTCCCTAAAGGGCCCGCACACGGACTTATCGGACTCTCTCCCTCTAAGCTCGGAGGGGAGGCAGCTCCAGGGGCACCAGAGTCATACAGGGAAGAACTGAGCTGTTTGACACTGGAGCGAGGGCTGGAGAGGGGGCTTTCTCCGGGACAAACGTGCTGTCAGAGGCCTTTGTTCCTTTGGTGAGCCCTTCCCTGGGGCAGCAGACAGTCGCCATACCTGGGACTCCAGCAACCTGGCTCACACTGGTAGCCCCGCCCTGCTGACTCCCTGAGGCCCCGCCCCGCCCCACCCCACCCAACTTTCAGGCCCACCCAAGCTGTTAGCACTTGCTTAACCATAGGATTGGCCTGACTTGGATCCTGCTTCAGGTTTTCCTAAATTTTTTCAAACGAGCAGCATCTGGTCTCGGCTAGCCCCATACCGCTCATTAAGTAATACACAGAAACAAACACAGGGAGGCAGCCAAAATGAGGAGACAAAGAAACAGGTCCCAAATGAAAGAACAGAACTAAACCCCAATAAAAGAACTAAGCGAAATGAAGATAAACAACCTAACAGATGCTGAGTTCAAAATACTGCTTATAAGGATGCTCAATGAACTCAGTGAGGGCCTCAAGAGCATAAAAAAGGACCAGTCAGAAATGATCGATGCACAGTTAGAAACGAAGGAGGCTTTAACGGAAATAAAGAATAATTTACACAGTTTCAATAATAGAGTACGTAAATCCAAGGAGCAAACCATCGATTTGGAATATAAGGAAGCAAAAAATGCCCAATCAGAACAGCAAAAAGAAAAAAGAATCCAAAAAAATGAGGATAGTGTAAGGAGCCTCTGGGACAACCTCAAGCGTGCCAACATTTGCATCTTGGGGGTGCCGGAAGGAGAAGAGAGAGAACAAGAAATCGAAAACCTGTTTGAAACAGTAATGGCAGAAAACTTTCCTAACTTGGTGAAGGAAACAGACATACAAGTCCAGGAAGCACAGAGAGTCCCAAACAAGATGAACCCCAAGAGGCCCACACCAAGACACATCATCATCAAAATGCAAAAGGTTCAAGACAAAGAGAGAATCTTAAAAGCAGCAAGAGAAAGGCAGCTAGTTACCTACAAGGGAGTTCCCATAAGGCTGTCAGCTGATTTCTCAAAAGAAACTTTGCAGGCCAGAAAGGAGTGGCAAGAAATATTCAGAGTGATGGAAAGCAAGAACCTACAACCAAGATTACTTTATCCTGCGAAGCTGTCATTTAGAATCGATGGCCATATAAAGACTTTCCCAGACAAGAAAAAGTTAAAGGAGTTCATCACCACCAAACCGTTATTATATGAAATGATGAAGGGTCTTTTTGAAGAAAAAGATAAAATATATGAACAAACAAAATGGCAATGAATACATATCTATCAACAATGGAATCTACAAACAAAATGAACAGATAGAACAGAAACATTCTCATAGATACAGAGAACATTTTGTTGGTTGCCAGATGGGAGGGGGTTTGGGGGAATGGGTGAAAAAGGTGAAGGGATTAAGAAGTACAAATTGGTTGCTAAACTGACAAACCTCAAAGGGAAAGGGGCTGGGGGGGTGGGAAGAAATAAACCAAAGAACTTATATGCATAACCAATGGACACAGACAATAGTGTGGGAAAAGGCGGGAGGGAGGCGGGAGTGGGGAGGAGGGAGTCAATGGGGGAAAAAATGTGGAACATCTGTAATACAGTCTACATTCAACAATAAAGATTTAAAAAATTAATAAAAAAAAAAAAAGAAGTACAAAATCATTGCTTGACTGACAAACCTCAAAGGGAAAGGGGTTGGGTGGGGGGAGAAATAAACCAAAGAACTTATATGCATAACCAATGGACATAGACAACAGTGTGGGAAAAGGCGGGAGGGGGGTGGGAGTGGGGAGGAGGGGGTCAATGGGGGAAAAATGAGGAACATCTGTAATACATTCAACAATAAAGATTTTTAAATAAATAAATAAATAAATAAAAAGATGAAAGAAATTACTATCACTACTAAATTTATAGATCTTGCACAGTCTGGCTGCTATGCACCTCTCTATCTTAATCTTTTATTACTTCCACCTTGCTCTTTAACTTCCCTCAGTTCTTCAAAGGTGTCATGCACTTTACTGCTTCAGGTAATTTGTGCAAAAGTTGGAAAGTTACCTCTTTCCAACTCATATGTATTAGCTTGCAGTTGTCACATTACTTTTTCCAGAAATAATTGCCTATTACATTTAAGTATACCAGATCAATATATTTCACATACTATCATACCTGTTCTTTTCCTTGATAACACTTAGCACAGTTTTGAATTATATATACCTACTTGGTGAATATTTGTCTTCCCTGTTGGATTACAAGTTCTATAAATAAAGACTCCAACTCTCTTTGATTATTTACGGTCTGTCACATACGCAGTAGGCATTTAATAATTTTGAGTTAATGAATAAGATATGTAGCAGTGAATCAACGTTATCAATCAGAGCACAAAATAGTGAACTTCCAATGTGTTTTGTTTGGTTTACACAATGTATGAAGACAGCTTTCACTGGATGCCAACACATGAACATTATGTGATTTCACATGAAAGCTACATTTCAAGATTCTCCTTAAAAAATAAAAATAAAAAAAAACACAAATAACTTGCATCACCAGGAACACAATTATCTCTAATTAGCCAAAGCTTAGTGGCTTCTCACCCCAGTGTCTTTCTTTCTTTCTTCCTTTCTTTCTTCCTTTCTTTCTTTTCTTTCTTTCTTTCTTTCTTTCTTTCTTTCTTTCTTTCTTTCTTTTCTTTCTTTCTTTCCCTTCTTCCTTCCTTCCTTCCTTCCTTCCTTCCTTCCTTCCTTCCTTCCTTCCTTCCTTCCTTCCTTTCCTCCCTCCCTCCCTCCCTCCCTCCCTCCCTCCCTTCTTTCTTTCTTTCTTTCTTTCTTTCTTTCTTTCTTTGGCAGAATTTTATGGTTTTATTAACACAATACAATGTGTACACAATCTGTCTATTCATTTTCTTCGCTGAGCAGCCTGGCATTGGGATTGGTGACTCTAGTGGCCAGCTGGGCTATTCTTTCCACAATGGCTTTGTGGTTCTTTGAGGAGACGTTGTGAGCAATCTCAGCACAGTAAGATTTGTTGCACATCAGCAATACTTCAAGCTCCTTGACGTTGTGGACCAGAAACTTACAAAAGCCACTGGGCAGCATGTGCTTTATTTTCTTGTTGCTCCCATAACCAATGTTGGGCATCAAGATCTGACCCTTGAATCTTCTGTGCACCCTATTGTCAATACCTCTAGGTTTTTGCCAGTTCTGCTTAATTTTGACTTATAGGTCTGACTGGTGCCGAATGAACTTCTTTTGACAATCTTGGGTTTCACAAGGGGTCTAAGGGCAGCCATGGTGCCGAGCAGAAGATTGTAGCCCTTCCTTCCTCCTTCCTTCCCTCCCTTCCTCCCTTCCTCCCTCCCTCCCCTCCCTCCCTCCCTCCCCTCCCTCCCTCCCTCCCTCCCTCCCTCCCTTCCTTCCTTCCTTCCTTCCTTCCTTCCTTCCTTCCTTCCTTCCTTCCTTCCTTCCCTTTCTTTCTTCCTTCCTTCTCTTTCTTTCTTTCTTTCTTTCTTTCTTTCTTTCTTTCTTTCTTTCTTTCTTTCTTTCTCTCTCTCTCTTTCTTTCTTTTATTTTTTTTACTTTTTTTTTTTATCCTCACCCGAGGACATTTTTCCATTTTTTGTTCAGATAGAGCGGGAGGGAGAGAGAGAGAGAGAGAGAGAAACATCGACGTGAAGGGACACATCGAGTGGCTGCCACCCGCACGACCAACCAGGGCCGGGGACAAACTGCAACCAAGGTACATGCCCTTAGCGGGAACCGAACCCGGGTCTCTCTGTACTGCAGGCCGACGCTCCAACCGCTGAGCCAAACCGGCCAGGGCTCTCTTTCTTTCTTTAATTGATTTTTAGAGAGAGAGGATGGCAAGGGAGATAGAAAGATATCGTGCCCGCTACCAGGAACGAAGCCCGAAACCCAGGCACTGACCGGAAATCACACGAGCAACACTTCAGTCATGGGTAGATGCCCAGCTAACTGAGCCACACTGACCAGGGCTCACCCCAGTGTTTTGAAGTGCCTTTTCTCTTTTTAAAATCTCTGGACATGTTAGTTTGTCTTTATCGATATAGATGGGTACATGAAAAGGAACCACAAAAGATGATTGTATACAATGAGAAGAGAGACTTGAGAAAACCAATGATTAAAGAGTGGGCAGGAAATTGGAAATCCCTAAAGAAGCCTGAGAAGTAGTTAGGTATGAAGAAAACTAGGAAAATGCGGTTCACTGAAACCAAGATAAAAAAGGATTTCAAAGAAATAATTTTTTAAAATAACCTTCCCCTCTTACCTTTTTCATTTCCTCATACATCATGAACAGAATATTGAAGTCATGTCTGTGCTCGTACCAGCCTCTGATGTGATCAAACCAAACGTTTCCTATCACTGTGGGAAAAATTATAAGTAAAAGGTAAAGATGTTGCAATTATTAAACAGCAAACTATAATCTTTCTTTTCTGTTCTGGAAACCTCCGAAAGAAAAGTAAAGTCCCCGCCACTGAACATTAAGGTTACCTTTTTAAAAAGGTGCTTTGGGGAAAAATTACATGATTTTAATGGAAACCTGCCTTTCCTATGTATGTACGAAAGCAGCAGTGAAGAAAATATGAAGTCCAAACAACTAATTTTGAAGATTTAAGGTAAACTCCTTACTTTCTTACTTCTTCCACCTGTCTATGTTAAGCTCTTTGGATAGCAACTTCACCTATCTACAAGACAGAACCTGAGTATAATTTTCTAAATGAGCGAGAGCCCCAATTCCACCTCCTACGAGCTTCTTGCATCAATCTATCCTCAGTGTTGAAATGAATATTCCACCGCTGCCATATAAGGCCTCCCATAGACCCGTGACAGAACACACAAACAACATCCATTTCAAACTATTACACCATTGAGGTTCTTTTATGATCTTGTCAAAATATGTCTTAATAAATAAGCTTTGCCAACCATAATAATCCCCAAAGTGGTCCTGGTGAGAGTAGAAAAGCCATTGGGTGGCAAATTAAATTGACAGAATAGTAACCACTTACGTGCATCCAGCTTCTATCATTACCCTTCTTTATTTCCTTAAAATGTGTTCCCTAAGTTTGAGAATTTGGCTAAATGCCAATATTGTCGCATAAACATGTTGCTTATATAAATCCATAGTTACCCTTTCCATCTAGAAACCTTTTCATGAAATGTTCCATATCATTAGCAGCTTCAAGTAAGACCATCAGATTTGAAAAATGAAAGTATGAAGTCATAACATCCTTGGGGTTTCTGTAGACGTAAATAATCTGCAGAGGGAACAGTAAAACAATTTTAACAATTCTTGGTTATCCTTACAGGTTGTTGTTTTATTTTTTGACACCAACATATGTCATTATATGACTGCATCACAATTTGTTTCATCCAGCCTACTCCTCATAGAAATTTAGGTGATACCCAATATTTTTGTAATTATAAATACTGCTGAAATAAACAACTCTACGTGACATTTTACATGTGCAAGCATATAGGACTAATTTCTAAAAGTAAAATGATTTATTTGTAAGGTTGATTAATATTGCAAATTATCTACCATAGAAACTGTTTCAATTTACTCTCTGTAAGCATTAAGTGACACTTGATAAAAAGCCAAAGTAGCATTGGAGATCATTTCAAAAAGGAAAAACTACTTAAAGGTGATGTTGAAATAAATAATTATTCGTATAGTATAAAATTGGAATTCTAGCCCTGGCTAGTTTGGCTCGGCTGTTAGAGCATCAGCTGGCAGACCAGGGAGTTCCAGTTTCGATTTCTGCTAAGGGCACATACATCAGTTGCAGTTTGTCCCCAACCCTAGTTGGGGTTGTGTGGGTGGCAACCAATCAATGTGTCTCTCTCACGTGGATGTTTCTCTCTCTCTCTCTTCATCCCTTTCTCCCTCCTGCTCTATCTGAAGATAAATCCAAAAATATCCTCTGGTGAGGATAAAACAAAACACTAAACAAACAAAGGTATATGGCGAAATCCCAGGAAAAAAGAAAGTAAGCGACAATATAAAGCTAAGTAAAATTTAAGGCCAAATTATTTAACAGGACAACATATAACTTGTTTGCAATGACTAACAGAACAGAAATCTTTGTATGCTAAATTACATATTAGAAAATCTTAAATGACACAAATTCTAATAAGTCTGTAAAGATTTTGATTTAGCAACCATCATAGTGGGAGGTTTACATTAATTTATCTTTAGTCACAAAGATAAAAGAATTAGCAAAATAATTTACACAACTATTTAACAAAATTTATTTTATATGTGCATGTTACCGCCCCACACAGGGAATATATATCATTTTCTCACGTCGTCATGGAACACATTGAAAAAAATTGATTATGTAATTGGCCATAAAACTACTTACTGAATTTCAAAAATTAGAATTTTTACAGTATCATTACTTGATGATAATATATACTAATAATCAACAATATAAGTTAAAAAAGAAAATTTATGTAAACACTTGGAAATAAAATCTTCAAAATAACTTAGATAAATTAGAAAATTAAAACTGAAATGACAGATTATTTAGATACTAACAATATATATCCATAACTATACTAAAATGGATGTCCATCATTTTAAAATGTCAATATTTTAAAAATAAATACTGGGAATAGATAATGCTAAGCATTTAATTAAAGAAGACAGAAAACAAATACACACAAAATATGAGAAAATAAAATGAAATCAGAAATCAATGAACTAGAAAACATTAAAGTATGTTTAAAAATGAAGCTAGTTCTGTCCTGGCTCATGTGGCTCAGTTGGTTGAGTGCATATACCAGGTGAGATTCCTGATCAGGGCACGATTCCCAGTAGGGGGTGCAGGAGGCAGCTGACTGGTGTTTCTCACATAGATGTAAGAATCATACAAAAGTATGCATGACCAATGAACATAGACAACAAAGCTGGGGATGGGGTTGGGGGAAGGGGAGGAGGGTGTCGATGGGGGAAAAATGAGAAACATCTGTAACAAAAACAAATTAATAAATAAACTTTTTTTTATCCTCACCCAAGGACATTTTTCCATTTTCTGTTCAGATAGAGTGGGAAAGAGAGAGAAACATTGATGTGAAAGGAACATATTGAGTGGTTGCTACCCATACGACCTAACCAGGGCCAGGGACAAACTGCAACCGAGGTACGCGCCCTTAGTGGGAACCGAACCCGGGTCTCTCTGGACCGCAGGCCGACGCTCCAACCGCTGAGCCAAACCTGCCAGGGCAAATAAAAAATTAAAAAAAAATAAGATGTCACTGTATCCTATAACTATTTGAAATTATTATATTAAAAATGAAATTCCAAAAATAAAAAAAAAGAATCATACAAAAAACAACATAGCACATTTGGTAAATATGTCAGTAGACCTGATAAATAAAGAGCTATAGAATGATGCTGGAATAGTACAATTCTAATGATTGTCCCAGAATTAATCTAGATAGAGTTAATCAATTCCAATCAACATAAAAAAAATCACTGGGGAAATTAACATATCAAAAATTAAAGTTGATGGGGATTTGCCTTATTAATTACAATATTTAAAACAGTGAAAAACTGCCACTTATTAATTTTTGGATAAAAAAATTCAGAATTAGAGGGAGGGACTACAGAAACTTAGAATATCAAAGTGTAGACTTTGAAATAGTAGGGAAAGAGTAAATGCTTAAACAAGTTATATTGGGTCAATTGGCTAACCACCTTGGCAAATATAATGCAAGAGTCATATTTCAAATCACATGCAGTATCAGATATAGTTTATAATTAAATGCAAAAAATAAAAACATAAAGTTAATTAATAGGAGAGTATTTGCATAATCTTTATGGTGGGAAAATGTTTTCTTAGTAAGACACAAGAACTAGAAGCTATGAAGAAAAGATCAATAGATTGGTTATGTAAAATTAAAAGTATTCAATAATCTTTAAAGGCAAACTATTACTTGGGATATTTGTCCCATATAAATGCTTCTATTAAACAGTAAATAAAAAACAGGCTAAATAAAAATAGGCAAATAATATAAAGGATTTTACAAGGGTTAGACATATATAAAAAAATGGTCAAACTTATTAAAACGAAAGGTCTGCAAATTACTCAAGAATGAGATTTTTCTTTTCTTCTTTTTTTAAATCCTCACTTGAGGATATTTTTCCATTTATCTTCAGATAGAATGGGAGGGAAGGAGAGAGGGGGAGGGAGGGAGGGAGAGAGAGAGAGAGAGAGAGAGAGAGAGAGAGAGAGAGAGAGAGAGACTGATGTGAGAGAACCATTGCTTGGCTGCCTCCTGCCCGCCCCCTACTGGGGATCAAGCCCACAACCCAGGCTTCTGCCCTGACAGGGAATTGAACCCGGACTTCTCACTCCATGGGACGATGCTCAATCCACTGAGTCACACCAGCTGAGCAAAAAGAATAGAATTTTATGTGCTTTCATCAAATAATTTTTGCTGTATGCTATATAATCATACTGCAACTAATGTGTGTGATGACACAATTTATGTATACACTTATAACTCCATATATATTTTAATGTGTTAAACAATACTAAAGATTATAATAATCACATTTGAAAGAATGTGGATGAGTGGGGCTGAAAAAAATATTTGGAGAAAGTATTTTGTTGTTGTTATCCTCACCTGAGGATATTTTTCCATTGATTTTTTTTTTTTTTTTTGATAGCGTGGAAGGGAGGAAGGGAGAGAGAGAGAGAAACATTAATATGAAAGAGACACATCAATTGGTTGCCTCCCAGGGGACAGAATCTACAACCCAGGTATGTGACCTTGACCAACACTTGAACCTGCAACCTTTCAGTCCACAGGACCATGGCCTAACTGCTAAGCCAAACCAGCCAGGGCCAAAAAAGCATTTTTTTTTTTTTTTTTATTCTTTTTAATCCTCACCCAAGTTGTTCAGACAGAGTGGGAGGGAGGGGGAGAGAGAGAGAGAGAGAAACTGCAACCGAAGTACGTGCCCTTAGCGGGAACCGAGCCAGGGTCTCTCCGGACCGCAGGCCGACGCTCTAACCGCTGAGCCAAACCGGTCAGGGCCAAAAGAGTATTTTTGTTTGTGCCAAAGACCCATAAGCTATTTACATGACTTACTTTAGCTTTTTTGTTCTTGAGCCCTTTTGGTGCTAAATAATAGGGGATGTGGGAACAGAAAAGGCGAGGGGATGGTCTGTTGATAAAGTCTGCTTTGCGTAGGTTGTATTCCAAAAAGGGAATTCTATCAATCGTATCCACATTTTCAGTTCCATTACGATGTTCCTCAAAATAAATCAAGCTTAATATCTGCTGCATCCAGATGGTACCTGTAAAAATAAATAATCTCACTTCCAATCCTGAATTAGTTTTTTTATTAAAAATGTCAATAATAATGCCATCTATCTCAAAATTACTGGGAGCTTTTTTTTTTAACCACTCTAAATATACTAAGGAAATGTGTCCAACTCTTTTTGTTTGTATGCATTTTACATTAAAATTAGTGAAGATAAAATTAGGTGTTCTTTGTTCCTTTTTTATTCTAAAAGAGCTGTGATTGCAGCGATTCAAATTAATTCTTCAGCTCTTTTGTTTCCTGTAATTTATGTAAGGTCCGTTCCTATGAATTTCTGTGGCTACCCCTGTTTCTCCTTCCTTAGTCTTTCTTAAAGCTTTACCTTTTAGAAATATAGACAAATTAAGAGCTCAAGGCTCCTTTCAAATTTTTTTTTTAACTGTGTAGCAGAGGTCTTCTCATACAATGCTGAATAAAAGCACTAGTACGCATTCTTGTCTCATTGTTTATTTTAAATGTTTCACTATTGCATTTGATGTCTGTGGTAGTTTTGGGTAGTCTGTTTATCAGGTTAAAGTTCACTTTCTCCCTAGTTTGCGGATAGTCTCCCTTATGAACGCATGCTGAATTTTATTAAATGCTTCTTCTGCACCTGTTGAGATGGTAATTCAGGCTTTCTTCTGTACTCTAGTAATGTGGGTGAACTGCATTCATATATTTTAAACCAATCTTGACTCTTAAAATAAACCTACCTTGGTCACAGGGTATTTTTAAAACATTGCTAAATTTGTTTTGCTTGTATTTATTGGGTTTAGGATTTTTGCATCTATGTTCATGAATATTATATATTATCAATGCTCTAAAAGAATGTGAGATGTCAGTAATTTTTCAATCATCACTACTCAGTTGAGTCGATTTTTTAGACACAGTTCTGATAAAATTTATGGTGAGTCCTCTAAGATGAGTAAGAACCCAGCAGGCTGGACTGAGGACTAGTGTGTGGCATCCCAAATAGTTGGGCTGGATTAAGGGAAAAGAAAAGCCTCTTATCAGCTACTGAACCTAAAACTAAGCAAACTGAGGCGTCACCAACATCTAAGGGAGGAAAACAAAAACACCTGATATCAGATGTGATAATATAATTTGCCGAGTGGAAAAATCCAGGGCAAAGACATTGTATTACTAATTTGGGGAAAGTAAACAAGGTCATGCATTTCAAAGTCAGTAGTAAAAAGGAGGGACAGGAGCATTTTCATGATAATCAGGAAAAATTTTTTTGTACTGACTTCAACTCCAGTGTATTTTTGAGAAATAATAACCATTTCGTATAACATTAATTCAAGAACACCAATCATTCTGTGTTCTAAAAAGCACAATATAAAAAATAAGCTTTGGGGAATGTAAAATAAGAGGGCAATTTACTTTAATTCAAAATTATTTCATTATTATAGGGAAATAAAGCAATTAGAGTAATTGAAAAGCTTATTAGTAATTAGTTCTGACTGAGAGATGCTGCTGACAAAAGTCCTCCAGGGGCTTTTAAATATGCTTCCTTCCATTCTCAGAGCAAGCCAACAGGTCAGCATTATCTACTCTTGGGTCAATATCTTGTTTCTTTTTTGTTGTTGTTAATCCTCACCCAAGGATATTTTTCCATTGATGTTTTTAGATAGAGTGGAAGGGAGGGAGAGAGAGAGAGAGGGAGAGAAAACATGGACAAGAGAGAGATACATCCATTGGTTGCCTCCCACATGGCCCCAACCACCCCAGCCAGGGTGAAGATCAAATCTGCAACCTAGGCACATGCCCTTGACTGGGAATCAAACCCATGAGCCTTTGGTCCTTGGGCCAACTCTCTAACCATTCAGCAACCAATCCAGGGTGATATTTGGTTTCTTCATATGTGCCTTCAAAAATGACAATATGTGCATTTCAAATGATCTTATATATGAAAGATTTGAGGTTTATTTAACTTTTTAAAAATCCTAAATGGTGGTCTAAATGTAGGCTGAGCTACTGTTAATGTCTGGAAAAGGGCACATTTGTACGAATATATTACCAAACCAGAGTGAAAACTGATAACAGGTAGCCCACTCCTCAAACTTACCAGATTTTGGATATGTAATTATGAAGACATCATCATCTCTAATTTCAAAATCATCTAGAGTTTCTAGGAAGTCAACATCAACTAAAGAAGATTGAAAATAATAGTCTTTAAATTTCAACCAATATGTGTTTTTGTTGTCCATAATTTTTCACCTATAACGACAAAATTATTTTCAATGTCTTAGTATTTTATAGTAATTATTAACACTTATTGAGTGTTCAGTATATGCCAAGCAACTTTTAAACATTGTATGTGTCTCAACTCATACCATATAAACGTGTACATACATAAATCATTTAATCTTCACAGCAAGCAAACATTCCTAGAGGTTTAATCACTATTTTAAAGATGAGGAAACTAAGATACTAAAAGGTTAAGCAGCTCTTCCTAAAGCCCCATGAAGGAGGATTATCATGATTCCAAACATAAAGCTGGGAAAATAACGTACAGGAAGTTCAGGTTGCCCAGCTGGCAGACCTGGCAGGATTTGATGCCAGATTCTTTGGCCCCAGAGTTCATGCTTTCAATCACTTTATCTAATACAGTTTCTTAGTATTTGATATTTTTATTATTATAGAAATAGGAATTCTTCAATAAATGTACTCCCCCCCCAACCCCCCCCTCCCCCCGGACAGAAATAATCTGTTGTCCCTGAAGGAGCTTCTGAGGCTTTGGGATCTGTCTATCATTTCAAATAAATTGTGAAATATGCTCTGCATGAGTAATACTGATTGTTTTACTTTGGGGATGTTGCCCTTATATAGTTGCAAGATATTGTAATATACTAATATAATAATAACCATTATTATATTTACCAATTGAATTTTTATCAGAAATCCTAGATAAATCTAAATAAGAACGTCAAAATATAAATAGGAAGCAAATAATCTAAAGAGATATCTGTTCAAAAATTGGACCAGCTAGGCATTTCTTTAATAGCTCCACCAGAGAAATCAATTCTTTTTTTTTTAATCTTTATTGTTGAATGTATTACAGATGTTCCTCATATTCCCCCCATTGACCCCCTCCTCCCCACTTCTGCCCCCCTCCTGCCTTTTCCCACACTGCTGTCTGTGTCCATTGGTTATGCATATAAGTTCTTTGGTTTATTTCTTCCCACCCCCCAACCCCCTTCCCTTTGAGGTTTGTCAGTCTAGCAACCAATTTGTGCTTCTTAATCCCTTCAAGAAATCAATTCTTGAATGTTAAACAGATGAGGAAATCCCAGAAGTTCTGATAACACTAGGTTTAGAATCAACACATATTTTAGTTATTCAGTTAGTTTTTTAAAAATTCCTGTGCACACCAACAAAATGAATTTGTTGAAAGTTGCAAATACGGCTTTGTCTAAATTGCATGTCAAGAAACAACATTTAATCTTTTACTAACACTCTAACTCACCTGACCAATAGAGGAAAGTCAGAGGTTAGAATTTTGCTGAGTAAGAATAGAAAGATCACTTATATTCGAATTACCTGGGTTTTTGGTAAATGTTTAACTTTTTAAAAATTCTAAATGGTGGTCTAAATGTAGGCTGAGCTACTGTTAATGTCTGGAAAAGGGCACATTTGTACGAATGTATTACCAAACCAGAGTGAAGACTGATAACTGGTAGCCCACTCCTCAACCTTAGCAGATTTTGGATATGTAATTATGAAGACATCATCATCTCTAATTTCAAAATCATCTAGAGTTTCAAGGAAGTCAACATCAACTAAAGAAGATTGAAAATAACAGACTGCTGGAAGTAGAATTTCCAGGGAGTGTGGCCTGGAAATCTGCATTTTAACAACCTGCCAATTACACACACAAAAACTGGGAACCAAAATACTGATAAAGCACTATCTGTGTTTCAGTGGATGTTTCATCTCAACTTCCAGAGAAGCCTTTGTGGGATGTTATTTGACCTCCAATTAAAAGATCCAATTAAGGCCCTACCAACTTGCTTGAGCTTTCCTGACACAAGTTGAAGTCCAGGCAACCTCAACTATTGAAAATTAAGGATAGAAGAGACTGGCTAATAAATCATAAAGAATGGTTTCAAGAGACAAATGATATTGGCATAGCAAATTTTGTAGGAAAAATCTTGGATAACCCAGCCTTTGGAGTGTGGTGACAAAGAATTTATACTGTATAACATGGACAAATGGAAAAGTCCATTAAGTATGAAATATAGTTCAAATTAAGGCAAAGATGAAAGTGTGAGTCACTATCACACACTTCTGACACCACATAAACACACACACACACACACACACACCTCCAAAAGCATCAATTCCAGAAATTCTTGATTCTGAGAAAAGAGGAAAGAGTGTCCTGCAGCCCACAAAAACATTCTAAAATCAATCCTTTAAACTATTTACTATGTTTGCACAGTCTCAAGAAGAGAGAGCTCTTTTGTCACAGAAACAAGAGGAAATGAGTGGGGTGTGGGATGCATTTTCATGTAGGATCTCAGCACTGGTGAGTCATACATTGTTTGCATCTCTTTAATGAATATAGAAGAAAGTACTAGTATAAAGGGGGGGAAAATGTCATGTGATTTCTTATTCTTGCACTAAGTCCAAAAGAAAAGGAAGAAAAACAGAAAATTGAGGAGAAAAATAAATACATTGTATTCGGAAGACTGGATAAAACTTGAAAGAGGCTCTAAGTCTATTGTTTACTCACCACTACACGTCAACTGATGAAGAAAAATCCACTTCTGATATAACTGTATGGAGGACAGGGAATGATGTGTTGCTGAAAAATAAATACTCCTTACAAGTGTGTTTTGGCCAATGAGTAGTGCTCTAGAGAGTCAGCAGATAGCTCAGTTTAGGTAAATAAATTAGATAAGATTGTTGATATTAGGAAATAGATACCTTATTAGTCCAGAAAAAGCAAAAGAGTCAAAACTGGTGGAGATACTAAAGAGAGCTGCATGTAACCAGTCGTCATACTCACTTAACTTTGGAAACTAAACAATGAATAACAAGATATATTTGAAAGCTCTATCAATACCTTCTTTGGGCATGAAGGATGGCTAGTAAAATCTTTTATTAAGTAAACATCACAGAAGATTCAGCCTATCTTTTTTACATTCTACAATACTTTGGCCAATAGGTGGGACTATGGATCGAAAGTTAAGTATAATCTATATTAGTCAAAACCTATGCTTTCAATTGGCTGCCATTTCCTACAAGGTTAGAATTCCATTTTGCCTTCTATATGGCCCCAAAACAATTGGTAGCAATTTACATTAAACATTTTGATGATATGTCAAATCTAGTGTTGTCAGAGAGGTTGACACCACACAGGTGGGTGTGTAGCTACGTGTTCATGAAGGTAGAGAGGTTGTTTTGGCATAAATACAGATTACGGAAATATGTGAAGCAAACTTCACAATATTCTAAGCCATATGGTATTTATTGGCAAAACAAACTAACTTCTACTCTCTAGCACACTGCTGTATATGAAAGTATTAACTCTGCATATGAAAAGTAGAAATATGGAATTCTCATGCAAAATTATCATGCAAATAGCAGTTGATTATTTTTTCCTTCAATTTATAGGGCTGATTTGCTAACAGCAGACACTCTACAAACCCAGAGAAAGGGGACAGGATTTGAAATAGCAGAGTGAAGAGCTCAGAAAATCCTCTCCCATAAGGAACTGGGTAAGACCAGAAAAAATTATCAAAAAGCAACCTCTTTAGAAATCTGAAAATTGACCAGAGGTATACAACAAATTGAGAAGTATTTCTTTAAGAAAAACTATTGAATCTCAGTAACAATAGGGGGTTCAGTGGCATTTTAACATGGTGTTGATCGCATCCTTCACCCTCCTTGCAATTTTGAGGTTTGGAGGTTGTATGAAGTCTACTGTCTTAAGAGGGCTAACTTGATTAGAATGGAGCTTGGAAAATGCCCAGAGGCATTATTGAAAATAATTGTTATTTTGTGGCAACGTTTAGAAAATGCTGCAACAGCCCTGGCCTGTTTGGCTCAGTGGTTAGAGCGTCGGCCTGCGGTTCTGAGAGACCGGGGTTCAGTTCCCGCTAAGGGCACGTACCTCGGTTGCAGTTTGTCTCCGGCCCTGGTTGGGTCGTGTGGGTGGCAACCACTCGACGTGTCCCTTTCACGTCGATGTTTCTCTCTCTCTTTCTCCCTCCCACACTCTATCTGAACAAAAAATAGAAAAAATGTCCTCGGGTGAGGATAAAAAAAAGAAAATGCCGCAACATGCGTAGCTAGTTGAACCAGACCTGAGGCGGGGTGATGGGAGATTGAGAAAGACACAGTGACATTATACAGAGAAAAGCTAGGACCAGGTGGGACACTGCTCTCTGATGGAGAAACAATGACTCAGAGCTAGTTCAGCATGTTTATTATATAGCAAAGATGAAGGGGGGAAGGGAGCTCAACAGCTTCATTGTCTTCAGACAAGTGATGTTTCTACCAGCCTCTGAGCCCAAGGTCAGGGCTGTCCATTCATTCTTGCCTGTGGCACAGACTGGGTGAGCTTGCAAACGCCACAGGATCAACAAGAGACCTTGGCTCAGCTGCCCTCCACAAGAAAAGACCAATATCACAGCTATAATACTGGCCAGTGCAAGCAACTTGACCAGTCAGAAATACAGGGGTGAGCAAGAGTAGGTTTACGGTTGTAATACAAATAAATAATATAATAATAAATAAATAATAATACACAAATAAACTCTGTTTCATGTACTCACAACCGTAAAATTACTTTTTTTAATGATTTTAATATACTTTATTTAAAAAGTACACAGTTTTAAATTGGTTTCGATGGGTTTCACGCAGAAGGGACACTGCCCACTGGCAGTCCTGTTTCTGATAAAGGGTGGTTACCATGTAGCAAACTCACATTTACATGACTGGCAAAGTAAAAAATAACATTTTTGTCAATAGGTCTTTGAGTTTATATCACGCACAGTTTAAAATCATGAGATACTGATGGTTGGACTATATTTCATGTCTCCTATGTCGCACCGTAGTTTGGTTCACAGTTTATCCATAATTCAACATACCAAGAGAACATCTCGGTCAGTGTCACCTTAAGAAGAGCAGCAGAAGCAGAGGAAACGGGATAAGGACCATCTTGGCCTGGAGACTCGGTGCACCCCCACATTCTCTTGCA